TTGAGTATGGCATTGAAGTGCCATTCAGGTATTGAGTATGGCATTGAAGTGCCATTCAGGTATTGAGTATGGCATTGAAGTGCCATTCAGGTATTGAGTATGGCACTGAAGTGCTTCCACACATAAGCACACAGGAACATAAACAGCGCTGATGCGAGATGCTGCACACTTACGTTTTGTGTATGGTTTGAAAAAGCTGCTGACCATCAACAGAAACGCCAGCACTAACTGCATATGCCAGAGACAGCTTGTCTTCTTTCTCAGTCCGTGCACGAATGGAAAGCTGTAGGGAGAATCACTATTACATTTACATAATTCCATTCTGTATTAATGCATCTATGCTGTGAACAAATTGATGCTAAACTTCCCATTCAATAGCATTTCAATGAAAACAAACTACTGAACAACACCTTATAATTCTGCATTTAATATTAAACTAACTTTAGTTCATTTAAAGCAGGTAAAAGTGGGTTAAGTTTTGTTGCAATGTATTTGGCAACCTGATCTTGGAAAATGCAGTATTAATAAAAACAGCTAACAATCAAGGGAAAGTCTACTACTTGCATTCAATTTCAATTAAAATGCTCATAACAAATTAAACACACGTAAACTGTTTTCTAGACTATAATCAGATGGTACAAGGGGGTGGGTCTTACCTTATTAATATTCAAGGAGGCTAGAGGGGGAGGGGTTTCAGAGCGGTCATTGATTATATCCACTTCTGAAACACAGGCTAAATTTATCAGGACAATGTCACTTAGGTTGGGCTTTCCGCTGGAGGGAGCACATTCTGAAGGAGAGGAGGGTACAGAGTCAAGGCAAGCAACCACAGTGGTGGGCTAGTGATGTGTTTGGCCAAAGAACTGAGGGAAGCAACGGCGCCATCCACTGTGCCACTGTGACAATGCTCTGTGACCCCAACCAGGATATGAAGCTTGAAATGGGTGCAATTTTAGCCATTTTATCATATGCAATAAATAAGTGTAATGTGAACACAAAGCTAGTCAATCCCATAGGCAACATAGACGGCCGCCTATCTGCCTCGGATGGGGGTTAGGGTTAGGTGATGCTGCATGGGCTGAGACTGGCTCTGGGTGGACAGCTAGCTCGATCCGTTCAAGAATGTAGTGTTTTGTAGAAGAATGAGCCCTGGTGGATGTCTGTCATAACCCTAAAAAGCATGTACCTGATTGTTACTTAAATCAGTTGTCAGCGAGTGTACAATTTATTAGCAAGACACAGGATTTAGTCAGACCAGCAGCTGGATACTTCACACATATCTTGTAAAGGGGCGATAATATACAAAATATAACGGCTGAATTTCTGTCCGAGGAGCTTCATTGTTATACACTACCACTGTAATAATGTCTGTGCTGCAACCAAGGACAAGCAAGCCGTAACTGGTACGAAGACAACTTTCCCCCCCCAACTTAACTACCGACATCATAGTTACCGTTCTCCCTTTAAAATCGCACACGTTGCTAGACTTGGCGTAATGTTATCATTATGCCAAAGGAGATACGTATTCCTCGTCTGTAAGTTTTTCAAATATCTCGTCCAGTTAAAACTTACGAACCCTTTACCAGCTAGTTGACGACACAGAACAATGACAGAGCACTTTTGAATGACCAAAAACGAACCTTTCCAATGACAGCAACAAATTGCCCGAGTTTACGGTTAAAACGAAGGTAGCACTAAAAAGTCCCCTTTACAGGGGCGCGTACAGAACACACAGGCCTAATGCTACAGCGCCCTTTTCTTCATGTCCCGTCACATGCACTCAAGCCGCACTGATAACAAGGTATGTGAAACCGAATAAACTAAACCTAAGTAGTGTCAGTCTGCCACACATATGATAACGTGTCTAAAGATTACACTCACAGACCGCTATTAGCTACAGCTAGCTGGAAAGTCCCATGTCAAATTCATGCGAGCCGACGACACAGCGTCGACCTAAACTAGAAAAAAGGATACTCAGAATCAGCATCTTAGATTGGTAATCGAAAGCCACGACCTCCCCTTGTAACTGCTGGCCCAGGCAGGTGAGACATGAAACGTTGCTCCCGACACTAAAGTACTCCCCAGGTGCAGTAGCCGCCATTTTCTCGGCGAGGAGAGCGAAGCGTCGGGCGTGACGTCAACACGCACGGCGACGTACCCTGGCGCGTGTGTCATGTGTTTGGTCGAGATAGATCCCACGTCCACCTTCCTCACCGAGCGTTTACGAGCCATTAATACAATGACACCGCTTAACCAATTCAGGTTGCCGATTTGAAACTACAGTATAGTGGCACTTTACTTGACAGGGCACGAATACTTTATAGGTAATAGGGATGGGAATCATTAAGATAAAATTACTACTACTTTACTGGAACTGCTTATCAACCCGGTACTTTAACAGTACTCTTATCGGAACTTTTTATTTAAAAGAGAGAAAGAAACAAATTAAGAGAATAATTAATTAACATTGCCTTATTATCTTGTATGCACTGTATATAAATTAACATTATTCAATCGCAAACTGCAACAACATTGTTTTGAACAAGTCACTACTATAGATTATAATGATATGGAGATGCAAAATATTTTTTACAGCACAAGAAACAGCAATGTTTCGAACAATTCACCCATTATACACTGATCTTGTGTTGATGTAAAACAAATGTAATAAATAATGTTCACTTTTAAACAGCCCGGAATTTTCGACATGGGGTGCGTACGGTGCGTATCTAGCCGTTCACCTCATAGCTCTCAGTGCACCCAACTGCGGCACGGCCCAACCTATTTTCGCGTTTAAGAACAGGCTTTTAGCTTTAAACTGTACGTATTTTAAACGATTGTGCATATAACCCAAGATATTTTAGCTAATTTGCTGTGGTTACAGTGATTTTATTTTTAATTGCTGAAAACTGAACTTCAGAATGATGTTGAAATTGAAAATACGGTAAATTGATGGTCTATTTGCTGTGAAATTTTTAATTGCTTAAAGTACATTGGAACAATTAGTTGTCAACCGTGTGCACGAAACATCAACGAACCGTTACTGGGCCTAACTGTCACAACTTCTGAATTTCACATTTTAAGTGGAAAACTCAATGCAAGAATTTCAAAACGACATATGATTCTCTGACCATTTCAGATTTAATTTATGAACACACATGTAACAATCAGCTGGATAATGATTACTTTTAATAATTAATCCATATCCGTCTCCGGTTTATTATGCCATTTTACAATCGAACCTTAAGTTATTCACAACCTCCTGTAATTCGTCACAATGATTAAAAACAGAGTTATTGAGAAAGTTTATGGAATTTTTTCTATTTTTAGATAATATCTTACAGTCCTAATCAGAGTTGAAACTGCACCCCCCCAACCATATTCTTTCTTTACATCCCAGCCCAAAGTAATTTGTACAGCATAAATAAGGGATACATATGAGTAACTGGTGTAAGTTTGGTGCATGTAGGATTTTCCCAGCCACAGTTAGACGCGGGGGGGGGGCATTCTGTGGCAAGGTGGCCCCCCCCCCCGACCTAGAGTCTTTTCCTTATGGCTGGACGACTTGAAATACGACTTGTTAGCTGTAATGCACACGGGGTTTAGAGTGAGTGGTGAAATTTTGGTGACTTTTGATTACTTGAAATAAATCATGAGTCACAATTCATTAATAATGAACAAACATGATATCAGTGACTGGTGTGTGAGTGTGCCCTGCGATGGCTTGGCGCCCCATCCTGGCAGTGCCTTGCCTCGTGCGCCTAACCCCCGGGATAGGCTCCGGACCACCGCAATCATGAATAGGATGAGCAATTTCAGAAAATGGATGGCTGGAAACACGAGATCAGTATTTGTTGTGTTATTCATTACTTGTTCCTTAAGTAGTTAACAAAGGTTTGTGGAATTGACAGATACAGTAACAATAGTAACTGCTTGAAGTAAATCATGAGTCACGATTCATTAATAATGAATTGACATCAGATCAGTAGCCTACGTAACTAAGACTTAGTTTGTGGTTAATTAATATATAAGCAATAGCATAATAACTATATTATTTATGCCCCGTGAAGAAAAGTGTTACCAAAAATAGTTATTTTAAGATTTTTTTTTTAACTGAAAGAAAAAAACATTGGAGGAAAAATGCAGTTTGATTTCAGGATTCTGTCACACAATTCACCAAAATATTCATCAACGAATTAAACAGCATCACCTTTGTGTCATTTTTGTATGACCCTGGGTTTAACCCCTAAATCCCAATCTATCATTTCAGGGATAAACGTACTTTTAAGTCCCATGCACAAACAATACCGCTTAGACACGAGCTCTCCAGCAACGTCTTCCCGCACTTTGAATTGGCCTGTAGGCCACATGTCCTGGTTCGCCTATTTGTCTTAACACGTTCGATATGCAGAACTTCACGCATATCTTTATGTACGTTTAAATTAATACTATTGATAACAACCTAAATATAATTTATATATAAATATAAATATTTAATATAAATAACATCACAGCAACAAAATACCATGCATGCCCGTACTGCGTCCCCGATTGTTCCAATAATTACAGAGCCTGATAAACAATATTCCAAAAACAACACAATTATAGTGGACATAATTCACGATGATTTCATTACAATAAAATACTAATTATTGATATTATTCGTACCCTATTTATAGATTAGTATCGATTTTATCTGTAATGCTTCACTATAGTTGCGTATACACAAAGGTGCAATTTATATAGGCTTAAATATTAATAATTAATGCGCTAATTGCACTAATTTCCAATTGCAATTATGCACACTAATGCATCTTAATAAAACGTCACAAAAATAGTTTTATGGCTAATTGTTAGGGTTAATTTACTATAATATAGCTTAAATATTTAAGCTTCAAATAATTATGTACAAAACCTAATTCGTCTACTAACAAGGTGACGGTGACCGTTGTGGCTACTTTTTTTTTTGTTAACAGATCTTTTGCCTTAACTCGAATCTGAAAAGAATTTTTCGTATTTGAAGAAATTAAACCAAAAGCACATGTAACGTCAATATATTAATTCCATCCCTTACTGAGAATACGTAAACAAAATCGAAACAAATAGGCCTATATGAAGGAAATAGTGACGCATGAATGATGCCAGCTTTGGGGTTTTCCGCTATAGGTAGGTATTGGCTCCTTATTCGCCGCTCCTTATTCCTTATTATTTTGCGGTCCACCTTAAATGCTGCGCAGCCGAATGCAATGACGCGATTGCGCCTGTAGGGGGCTAATTTAGCGAGGCTTACCTTCATTTGGCTTTCGATTCGTATTAACTGAACACGATTCTACTGACTTGGAAAGTACATATCTGGGCAGATTCAGTAATAGCATGTGTGTATTTTATCAGAAAATGAGACAAACGCAAACGTCTTTCCACTCCCAATCAGGCCCCGAAATATGCCCAATCAGGCAAATATGAACTTCTCAGTACACGTCAGGTATCCCACTATATAGAAAAGGTGATATTATCCTGGCCCAGACTGATTTAATGCTTTAAAAATCAGATGGAAAAAAGGCATGTCATACTATAGAGCACGAAGGGTTACAATACGATGTAAGTAAAACAGCAGCAAGGAAATTCAGAGCTGCAGGGAGAATCACTATTTCGTAATTATAATTCGTGAATTTGTAATATTATTGAAGATGTAAAACAGTGCTATATAGACCTACTCAACATATATACGCACAAACAGAAACACATATTTTACATTTCACAATTACATGTTTTACATACAGTATCAATGCACAGAACCAAGAAACACATCCTACTCCTAGTCCTATATTAATACTATATGATTACATTTTATTTTGAATATATTACTTGCTGTCACTCCTTCTCGTCGTCCAATCGTGACACTTGATTGTCCAAATGATTGTCAGAAAGAATGTATATCAGAACATGAGAAGTTTCTAGCAGATGTTCTGAAATTTTAAACAATGAAAGTATTGAATCAATTGATGGGTTTTTGTTTTATAATGATTAGAAAGTTAGCACAATGAAGCAAGATATAGACAAATAGTTCATAAAATGACTGCATGTTTCAAGAAGATATTACTTAAATTTACAAAATCACATATACATTTTTTTAATGACAATCAGGCATCTACACAATTCATCTATGGATTTATTTTTATGAATTTAAATCACAACCATAAACTGATTATGGTTTTGCAGATCATGGCTATTTGCCTTATCGAGCGATTAGTCACAGACAAAGTATTATTGTATTAAAATCACGGGCGTCGCCGCCATTAAATCTGAGGTGGACGTGCCCCCCTCACATTTTATAATTATTCGTTTGGACCCCCCCACATTTAACATAAAATATTAGTTTTACGCTAGTGTGTCCCCCCCACATTCAAAATGCTTCTGACGCCCCTGATTAAAATATAAAATATTACTTTATACAACAAAACGTAAATACAATAAGTAAAAATACTGGAAGTCCGAAATGTAGTTTTTATTAATTGTATTTGAAAAAAAATCTTCATAGTTTTATTTTCATCACTGAAACCAATTGCAGCGGTTAAGTAATACCCCAGTCAGTTAGAATAAAAAAACATGTAGAGTAAGCATTTTCGCTACTGAAACACAAAGGGGAATTCTTAGTTTGAAACGTTTATAAACCTGGGAGGTATAGACCTAACCCCATGCAGGAACAGTACGAGTAAACAAGCCTGTCGCATTTCGATTAAGCTTTGGGCCTACAGTACTTATTGAAAGCAAGATGATGAAACTACTGAGCGCCTATCTGATTATATCATTATTAGACTATACCTCTGGCAGTCCCATGTCATGCACGCGGACGAAAAACACACTGGAGATACGGATTGAGGAGACCAAAAAGAAGCTGGAAGAGATGGTAAGCATCGTGTCTATTTGGGCAGAAATGGTAGGGGATTATTGTCTTTTACAGCATGTAAAACAATTGATTTTTACCCCACAGGGCGGAAGATTTCCGTCTGAGTGCATTAACGAGAATCCCGGACAGATGTTGGATGACACCGTGTACCATTTTGATGAAACACCGGTAAGTTATCCATTCATCATTATTATTATTATTATTATTATTATTATTATTATTATTTTTATTATTATTATTATTATGTTATATCATGTTTTGCTGTCTTTTTCCGTCTTTAAATTTCTTCTCTGACGCTGTGAACGTTCTTTCAACTTTACATTGTTCTGCGTGCAGACAGCAGTCAGGGACCATGACAGTAAAACCTTAAAAACGTGCACATGCGCTGATATAATCACATTCATTGCTTGGTTTGCATTACAGTTTTCTGATATATGTATTGCAGAATGAGAGCACTCGCTTGTCCATGGCTTACGAGGCTCTGAAGAGCGTGCAAAACATTTTTAAGAAGGACCTGTCTTCTACGACTTGGGACCTTCATCAGCTTAATCTCTTTCAAAATATGATAGATCGGACAGTAGAAAGATTACAATTTTGCGTAAGTAATAAGTAACACTTCTTGTTAATAATTTCTAAAGGTTTAAATACCAACTGCAATCAATAGTTTTCTTTATTGCCTTCAAAAGGTTGGAGAACAATTGTCCGGTTCTTCTGAAACCAAGTATGCCAACCTGAAGATATATTTTGAAAAGCTGAACGGTATTCTGGAAGATAAGGTAACGTATATTAGATATCAGTTTTCTTTTTAAATAAATAAACAAACAAACATATATAAACATACATATGTATCTAAAGTGAAACCCTTGGTTTGTATGCATTGTTTTTTTAGGGACACAGCCGCTGCGCGTGGGAAATTGTGCGGATGGAGGTGCTACGTAATCTAGAATATCTGAGCAAGTTCTTCGGCAGCAGTCAGCGATAGGGGGAACTCTTCGCTCTACAACAGATAAATCATGACCGATGGATACTTCAGAGTGCATAGAATGTGACGCCAAATATGCAGCATATTAAATTTTAAATTATGTGCCTATTTATTTATTTATATATTTATATTTTCAATTATTCGCTATACAAGAGATATTTATATTTTCTACGCATTTTTAAAACTTATTTTCGGATTAGTAACTACATATAATGCGAAACCAGGTATGCAGCATATTAAATTTTAAGTTGTGTATTTATTTATTTAAATGTATTTTTTCATATTTATTTTCACGTGCTAATTGTTTTAATTATTTGTCTTTTGGCATCTGTTCCTGTAACATGCACATTTTCTAATAAATACTGATTGATTTCATACAATGACTGTTGAAACGAGAATTCACTATTCAATAAAATATTTTGGTTTATCATAACAATTAACCTATATGGATTCCCATTAATACCAAAAGGCTCTAAAATATAATAATAATTCATAATAATAGATAATTCAATTGCTCATTCTCAATACTGACCCTTCCTGTGTGTTACGAATAAATACTGTTACCAAAATCTGCTAAATAGTAGTGAATTTTCCAAAAGCTTCGCAACACTTGTTGCAACCTGCGCGAGCGAACGAGCATGGAGCGGAGAAGCAGACTAAGGAAGCCGCGAATACGGGTAAACAGGGTTTTATTAAAGTAGACAAGGAGCATCACAGGACGAACGTTAATGACAGATCTGGGGAAAACGGACTTAGACTCGGACTAAATACACAAGACAAGCCGAAAATACCAGGCAACAGGCGATCACAGTCGGGAAGTAACACGGGGTAACGAGGGGGGCGTGGCACACAGGAGGATCAGACGAGCCGGGCGTGACAACACTAAGCAGCTAAGCACTTAAGATCGATTAATTCATAACTAAATTAGTTCGTAATCTTGCTCATAAATTTACTAACGCCCCGACCCCCTCGTTATCTACGTCGTTCTTTATTTGAACTTTTGCAGTCATGGTGCTGCACCTCTACCTGGACCTGGGAAAGGGAAGGTTCCAGGGCTCTCTCGCCATCATAGTGTGGCAGGATCAGACGTGTCCATGTCAGGGCCGATCGCACCGTTTCCTTTGCTCCCTGATATGGCTGATTGCAACACTGCCGTCGAGGCAAGCCTGCTGCACCAGCGACATCAGGATGCTCAAGAAAGGTACAAAGCTTAGCTCCCAATGCACCTATTCTCCATCTCCTAGGACATCTCGGAGATCTCTATCTTCACCTCTAAAACCAATGTAATATCAGATCTAGCCACACCACTGTGGAGTAAATGTCACACAGAACTGCAGTGATCAGCTGTGTCTTATTTCATATCACATCCTCCAGGTTAGCCTCCATCCAAGAAAGCACCATAACTACCAGACGCAACATATTTACACGCATGTGGCATTGCAAATACAACACAATACACGCTAATTACCACAGATTATTACATGTGCACGTATTTACAACTGGCACTGTGCCATGTTCCCCAAGATGCCCTGGGTATTCCCCAGCCGCGCGATATATTTCACCATTGAAATACGTGGGATCGATGTTCCTGTTAGGAACATCTACCAGCAGAGTATACTACTAAAGTTTGTTCGTTAATTCTGGAATAACGAAGGGTTTAGGTTAATTAAACCCTCGCGAATCTCGTTTTTTACCAGCGTCGTTCGTTATTCACGAAGACAGGTCGGAAACTCACAGCAGGTCAATCACACATGCATTACACGTCATAATTATGTTTCGGATAAGGTAACCTAAGAGACTCCAGTACTAACAACTTGACTGGACGACAAGCTGCTCTTGCCTGATAAAGTGTTACTAAGGAAAGGGTGGCGTTCTGCTCCCTCGATAAGGAATTATCCATCTGGCCAGCCATCCATTCAACTTCCAACCGCGTATCCAGTACGGGATAGCTGTAGAAATGTATTCAAATGAAATAAACCCAACGGCGCTGCAGTCACAACTTTACCACGCACCTATCTTAAAGGAAAATATTTAATCCGCAACTATGACAGAGGGAAATAACGGGTCCCAGTCACTTTCTTCTCCCGACTTACGTTCGAGGACAAGAATCAGTGTGAAACGCTATCCAAGCCCTCAGCACCTCCACCTCCTAAAAAAGTGGCCTGCGAAGGAGCCGGATGCAAACAAAACCGATATTAATTCAGACTCGGAGGACGAAATAACCGGCAGAAATCCTGTTTTATCGCCAGCCACATTTGAAAGAAAAGGGGAACAAGAAGAAAAGGATGAATTAGAGACCAAAGCAGTGGCGACCTCACCTGACGGCAGGTATCTTAAATTCAACATCGAAATTGGCAGAGGGTCGTTCAAGACTGTTTATAGGGGCTTAGATACGGAGACCACGGTGGAGGTGGCATGGTGCGAGTTGCAGGTATGAATTTAAGGTGCAATCTTACCCAACAATCAAAATTACCCGGTGCTTTGATTCTTAACAATAGTAATAAATATTGTTTTTCGTAAAACAAAGAATATGTTTCTGGAAAAGATACATTATCTATATGTCCAGTGTGAATGCAGTATTTTGTAAGGTAACAAGTATGTTTTCTTATATACAGTACCAGTCAAAAGTCTGGACAGAGCTGCTTTTAATGCGTTTGTCTCTATTTTAGCTGTGTTATTCACCTAAGAGTAAACGCCTTGAGGCAATGAAGGAATACATGACAAATATCGCAAAAACTTGCTCTTACTCTACGATCCAACTCATTCCAAAGTAACTCTGTAGGGTTTATGTTGTGGGATTGGGGGGAGGGGGGGGAGGTCATCTGTCGCAGCACTCCATTGCCTCCCTTGTCCACAGGATAATATTCACTGCATAACCCCAAGATGGGCTTGGGGTCATTATCTTGTTGGAAAACAAATGATTTTCAGCAGATCTGTCCAAACGTTCAACTGTTGTTGAATTTATTTTTGATATTCCTCTATTATTATAGCAAAATGTATCCAGATGAACACAAACACTGCACGCACTCTGCATAAATTAAAATGAGTTTATCTTAGCAGCCATACTAGTACCCAGGCAGTCTGGGCCCCCTGTGAAAAGCGGGGTGAGGTCCCCCCCCCCTCCTATAGAGTGGGGGGCCCATGAAGTCAGGCTGGGCCTCCTGAAGGCAAGTCAAAGGTCTTTGATCTTTAATTCTTGAGCACAGACACTTCAGATAAGCAAGCTGAAACCACCCCATCGGGGGGGGGGGGTTGGGGGATCCTCCCCTTTGCTTCACCTGTGACCTTCTCATGTCTCGGCTATTTACTCCCTGGGGAGTTTCTAACTCTGCTTTCCCTCTTTATGTTTTACTGCTGCCTCTGTTACTTCTTGATTTATTACTCATTCCCTCCTAATAAGTGCACGAGAGACTTCAAGGATGTGATAACATGTGTCTCACAGGAGTGTCGACCTTCCTCGAGACCTTCTTAGTACATGGGGTATTCAATTTATAATAAAAATATATGTGTGAGTGGCTAGAAGCCAAGCCTCATATCAATCTGTCCGAAACCCATTTTTTCTCATAGCGAATTCCCTTCTATGGCCTAACTACTTGAGAGCTTCATGACTTCGTTCTTGTGTAACCATCCCTTTGTCCTTCCTAGGTTATCCTACGCTTGTCAAAGAAAGAAACTAGCCATCTGATCTATAGTGCATTACAGATGAGTGCTTCATTGATGCTTATGAAGCATGATAATCAACACAATATTGCCTTATGACTGTCCATAGATGTTATAATGCTGTAATTCTTATACCGTCCATTGTAATACATTTTGAAGGTTTCTATAATTTATTATAGATGACAGGTTTATGTAAAGTGTTACCAAAAAGCCTTGTTTATTGGAGCAGAGTACAAAGGAAACGTACACTCATGCACACAGTCACAACAACAGCTTATCAGTCAGAAAGGTGACTTTAAGGTCACCTTCCACGCACAGAGTCGGCACAGTGGGTGCTAAATCACAGCAAACACCAGATGCCGAGCCGTGTTTGCATACGCAGGTGGGACCCCCTCCTGTCCCAGGGTTAGTGCAGCTTTAGACAAGACCAAGCAACTGCCTCATTGTAAAGGATGGCAGAGCAAGGAAATGGTTTGGTGTTGGCAAGGAAATGGTTTGGTGTCGGCGTACTTCAATACATGTTTGATTAAAAAACAAGAGGCAGTTTGTTCAGCAGCAGGCGTCCTACCTTAGGCATATTGATATCAGGGAGGTGGATGAAGAAGAACCAGGGGGTGGGTTCTGGCGATAAAAACGTGTCGACCAGCAGGGGGTGCTACAGGTAATATGTGCCGACAGCACACTGGGGGGCAGGGCTGAGCTAGTGGTAAAATGTGCCACTCTTCCTGCTGGAATGACTACTTTTTTGATTCTCTGTGGACATTGTAACTCAACAAAATGTAACAAATTTATAGACTATAATTTTATATTGCAACATTACCCTATTATTATAATTATTACTATTATTATTATCATTATTATTATTGTTATTATCATAATTATATCATAAACATATCATTAGCGGCTGTCAGATCAGTTGTTGCAGCAGGAAGCATCAAATAAAGCTACATTGTTACTAATGGACTATTACTATTACTGTGTCACAAACTATGGTCAGGCTAAAATTGTGACAAACAGAATCTACAATTATACGATGTATAATTTGCAAAAGTATAGCTAACAAGGTGAAGACATTTAAGGTTTTGCTCAGAAAAGGTTTTTCAAATATAAAATGAGTGCATACTATGCAGAGAACCAAAAGCAACAGTAACATAAAATTAAATGATAGCCAGTCTCCAAATGTCTGTTTAACTTGAGTACTCATGAGTACTCATAAACAGTGTTTTGCACTTGCCCTTCCCTTTTACTGTGTTAATATAAAGATTTAATGTGGCTACTTGGATACTCCCCACTTCCGGGAGCTAAGAATCATTTGTTAAGTAAGTCCTTCATTTTTCTGGAAGCCACTAGATATTGTCATATTTATTGCTTTAGGAGCTTGCTTACTAGGTTGTTATGAAATTATATAGTACCAGCCAAAAGACTGGACACACCAACCCATAGAAAGGTTTATTTGTACCATTCTTTGTGTTTTCGAATAATTATAAAGACATAAATCTATAAAACAACATGGGTTTGTGGGTTGGGATCAGAAGGTTGCTGGTTCAAATCCCGTGCTTGGCAGAGTGATCCCACCATTGGGCCCTTGAGCAAGGCCCTTAACCCCAGTGGCCCCAGGGACTGGCTGATCCTACTGTCTCCTCTACGCCAGTTTCATGAGGCGCCTCCTGAGATGCTCTTCCAGCCGTCCTGAAGGGGCTCCCACGTATATGCTGAGCTCTCATTGGCCACTTTCCTTCACTCTCTGGTCAAACTCCTCCCAAACCATCTCTGCTGTGTTTAGGTCAGGTCAGGTCATGTGATGCGACTAGGTCAGGCCAGGTCATGTGATGCGACACTCTATCACTGTCCTTTGTAGGCAGCTTGGCGCGTCCAAACTTTTGACTGATACTGTATATACATAGCGAAGAATTCCGGTGTATCTCAGCTGGTCCGGATGCTCTGTCAACTGCACTTTTATTACTTTGGATGAAAGAACCTACTACATATATGTAATGTATTTCTGAAACTGGAAGAACATAAAACATTTGATAACAGTTATTGGATTTTCTATTCCAGGGTTAGGGACACTACTGAGGCTTTCATGTGTTTGGTGTTTTTAACCGTGAAAGCCTTCGTGTGACGTGTCGAGACACAATATCCATCTATCATGACTACGTAACTTGTCACTAGTTTTGAAAGTGAGATTGAGCGTATGGAAAAAACAGAGACAAAGAACAGTACCATTCCAAATAAAGGCAGTGTATTATAATTAACACGTAAAACAAAACTGGGGATACCATCTACGTGAAAATGGTAAACCGACAGGCTGGTAGGCGTGAATCCGCTATCGACGGTGTCACCAGGCAGGCCTCTCACTTCCTCAGTTTGATTCTCTAGAATCTACCCAGCTGTTCCCGTCTATGAGCGGTTGGGCTTCATCGGCCGCTGCTCCTTTGGGGGTCGGGATGGTGAGGAAACGCTGCAGAAATGAAACATCGGCGTGACAGTGAGCATGACAATGCAGTGCTCTGTCCCCCTACCAGTCCACGCTATTAACCCTAACCCTAACCCTAACCCTCAACCGAATTATACATGCATCCATCTTCTGTAACCGCTCGTCCTATTCAGGGTCGTAGGGGGTTACGGGTGCAAGGCAGGGAACAACCAGGATGGGGCGCCAACCCATCACAGGGCACACTCACACTCACACTCACACACTCACTCACACACACACTCACACACCATTCACCCTATGGGCAGTTTGATATCTCCAGTCAGCCTCAGCTTGTTTTTGGACAGTAGTGGGGAACCCAGAGGGGTGGAAAAACACAGAAATAAGTATCTTCTATTCCACTGTAATATAATAGATTTGGGCCAGAAGTAACATGTATGAATCAAGGCTGATCAAAATGCACAATTCTTGTTTAGAGACTAGAATCATGTCTGTATTTTTGATATGTTGGGGACTGTACTGTACAAAAACAGGCCACTTTACCTGCACTCTTGTACCTCCTGTCTTGCACTGGTGCTCTAATGGAAATATCAATATTTACAGGCTGATATCTCATCGTTATCAGCTACATGCCTTGGTGTCATTGGAGCCTAGTTGTTCTAGAAAATTAGTTTTAATATCTGCAGTTTCCATAATAATGTTACTAACTTGCCTTCTGTCAGCTTGGCTGAACCCAAACCGTTTCTCATTCTCTGCTAAAGGTGATTATTTATTTGCTTTGTTTTAAAGTTATGAAGTTATATTAAGAGCTACTGATAAGACTGATCTGTTCCAAGCAGCTTTCCTTATCTGTCACATGTGCACCTTTATGTTTTCATTCTGAAGACATTTGTATGACCCTATAAACCCCACATATACCTGTCTGTTCCTTTTTTTACATACAGCTCTGAAAAAAATTAAGAATTTTCAGTTTCACTAATTTCTTGATTTATGGGTATTCGCCTGTATAAAATATACATTATTTTTTTTTTGCAAACTGCAGCCTGGCTCTTCCCTGCTCCTCAATAATTAAGGGCTTCTTCCTTCCTTTATGGGTCTTCAGTCCCACTTCTAGAATTTTCTCTCTTGATGGCATTTACTTTATTTCATTTTTGTCTAATAATTACTCTAAAACCAATGAGCAATTTGTCCTGTATTTTCAAATACATTTCATAACCCCCCTCTTGGAAAATTTAATCGGGGGGGATTGAAGATCAAATCCTAGTATTGGCCCTGTTTGATTGATACTCTATAGATCCTCTTTTCACATCCCCTATCTTGCTTTCCATGAGGGCAGCCACCCATAGCAGTTCCCAGGGGGCTGGGGGTTAAGGGCCTTGCTCAAGGACCCTCAGGTATGCTGAGGCCTGGCTTGAACCAGCAACCTTGTGATCACAGGCCCAGAGGCTTAGCCCACTGAGCCACATGTATGATGTGTGTAGCAGCGATTTTCTGGCCTTCCTCCTTTCTCCCGGCAGACACAGAAGCTGACGAAAGCTGAGAAGCAGCGCTTCAGCGAGGAGGCTGAGATGCTGAAGGGCCTGCAGCATCCCAATATCGTACGCTTCCATGACTCCTGGAAGTCCACGGTCAATGGCCATAAGTGCATCATCCTGGTCACCGAGCTCATGACCTCAGGAACCCTAAAAACGTCAGTCCTTCTCCTCATCACGTGACACCGTCTCACTGCTTGGTTATACCTGAGGCAGATTAATGTATAGACTATCCTAGGGCACTAGCAATGTCAATCTAGGGGCCCTCAGGGAGATTCGTCCATTTCCAAGTTACACAAAACCACACGACTTTTGGAGCTGCTGAATTGTATTTCCGATACGCCTGTTTGTAAGGTGACCAGATAATCGGTATCAAGGCTGGACCCTTTCAGCTGCTTCACAGACTTTTTTAAAAAACTGAAAGGTCTCCTGTGCTTGGCTGAATAGTTCAGTTCTTATTGTGCTTTGTTTCCTTGACTGAAAGACTTGTTCAGCTGTTACATGTTAACATTAGTGACACATGCTTGATTATAGGAAACTGACTAATCAGCCACACGGCAAGAACTCCATGCTTAAGTGCAATCAAGGTCCTTTCAATTGAAATTGCAGTCTACAAACCCTGTCGTTGCTCAAAGTGTCCTCCTTGACATGATTTATCTGGTCGCCCTATCTGTTAGAGACAGACTACCAATGTGTAGCATTGTGCATAAACTAACTTACACAGCAGGCCTGAGTTTATTCAGGCTAATTCCAAATATGGCCTTTAACTGACATAAACCGGTGAACCCTGAAGGTACCTGAAGCGCTTTAAGGAGATGAAGTTGAAGGTCCTGCAGCGCTGGAGCTGCCAGATCCTAAGAGGCCTGCACTTCCTGCACAGCCGCAGCCCCCCGATCATCCACCGCGACCTCAAGTGCGACAACATCTTCATCACCGGCCCCACTGGCTCTGTGAAGATCGGGGACCTTGGACTGGCCACCCTCAAGAGCACGTCCTTTGCTAAAAGCGTCATCGGTAAGATCACGCTAGGCCCCCTGCCACAAATCAGCAAATACTGCACTCAGAAAATTAGTGAATATTTGCATTTAAGACTCTCTTTAAATTCATCCATCTATCTTCCATAACTCCTTGCACAGTAAGGCAGAAATATCAGTGATGGCCAAGTGAAGCTTCATGAACCATTTGCTGTATTTTTTGACCCCACTAGATGGTGCTCTTGATTTGCTTTGCTTTGAGCCCTTTTTTGAACAGACAGCACTATCTAGTGGGGTCAGAAAATAGAGGAAATGGTTCATGAAACTTGTTTTGGCCATTACTAAAAAATACCTCTGTGAAGTCATAGTATTTAGTTGGTGCAGAAAGATCTACATTGTAATACAACATTAATTTGGTGGCTTCAACTGAATTTAGTGACCACTGACATTGGAATTCCAAATGCTTTGGAGAGATTTGCTTCATAGCAGCTGTGCTATGAAATTATGCCGCCCCCCCCCCCCCCCAATTAAGGAACTCCTGAGTTCATGGCCCCAGAAATGTATGAGGAAAAGTATGACGAGGCAGTGGACATCTATGCCTTTGGCATGTGCATCTTGGAGATGACCACGTCAGAATACCCCTACTCTGAGTGTCGGAATGCAGCCCAGATCTACCGCAAGGTCACCAACGTGAGTGTGAACGTCCGAGGAAAAGCTGGTCTGTTTGTTCTGTTATACAGCTGAAAATTGATTTCGGCAGCATTTCAAACCAAAAGTTAGCAAGAAAGAACAGAATCTGCACTTTTACTGAAGTAGAGAAACTGAAATAATTGTTCTAGAATGACTAATAAATTTTCACAATGACACAGTGATGTATAATTTTCTCAAGTTCCTCATTGGTTTCATATTCTTTCTGGATTTTCTGTTCTATGTGTTTCTGTCCTATCAGTCCAGCTATCCATGCAGTGTTTTCTTGTTAATTAATGATGTGCTTAGGGAATCAAGCCGGACAACTTCTTCAAAGTTAAAGTCCCCGAGCTTCAGGAGATCATTGAAGGATGCATACGGATGAACAAAACTGAAAGGTAATTTTTGCATGCCTTGTCATATCAGTATTATATAGTGTTCATTTTTATAAAGTGTTGGTTTGCTGATTCTGAGCCTATGTGGCTCAGCACTCGGTGACCCCGCTCTGTTACTTTTTGTGGTCTGCACTTTATGGCTGAGTTTCTGTTATTCCTCAATGCTTCCACTTTGCAATAATATCACTTACAGTTGACCATGAAATATGTACCTGGGAAGAAATTTCACAAACTGACTTATTACAAAGGCGCCATCCTGTGACAGCACCACACTTGAATTCACTCAGCTCTCCAGAACAACCCATTCTTTCACAAATGTTTGTAGACCTGACTGCACGGCTGGGTGCTTGATTTTATACACCTGTGGCGAAGGGTCTGAATGAAACACCTGAAACCAGTAACTGAGAGGCGTGTCCAAGGGTATAACTTTGGCCTGAGCATTGGAGGGGTTGAGGTCTCCTCCCATTTAAGGGGGGTCCAGTGGGTTATATAGGTTGGTTTTACAACACCCCCCCCACCCCCCTCATAATTTATGCCCATGGATGTGCCGCAGTAATTTTCTCCATATAGTGAATCTAAAGTGCACATATAAAGTTTGAATACATGAGAAAAATCAGGTATAAAAATAATAAACATCATGCAACAGCAGAAAACAATTATCTTCATATCCAAAAAAGCTTAAAAAGCACAACACAAGAAAAAAAATTAGGAAGGGTAGTTTTGCCTCATTTTAACCTACCTGAGTATGAGTATTACTCTGTGTGGGGGGGGCATGGCACCTTGTTTCACCCTTTCATGTATGACTGTACGTATGTCACAGTTCCTGCCCTGTGTGCCCTGTTAGTCACATTCATGACCCTTGTCATTTTGTCCTTGTGCTGCACATGTCACGCCACCCAGGTACACCATCCACGACCTTCTGGAGCACCCGTTCTTCCAGGAGCACGGCGGCATGCACGTGGAGCTGGCAGAGGAGGACGACATGCTGAAGTGCGGCCTGAAGCTCTGGCTGCGCATGGACGACCCCAAGAAATATCGAGACAACAACGCCATCGAGTTCCTCTTCGATCTCTACAAGGATGTGCCTGAGGATGTCGCGCAAGAGATGGTGAGGTCTACTCATGTGAAAAGTACTCAGTACTCAGCACTCAGTACTCAGAGTGTGGCTCCATCTGATGCTGTGAGTTGTGTGACAGTGCAGAATGGACGACGGGAGTGGACCTGTGCAGTGTAGGAATGGACCTGTGCAGTGTAGGAATGGACCTGTGCAGTGTAGGAATTAGTTACATTGAACTGACATTTTAAAGGCTGGAAACTGGACATTTGGGCAGAAGCATTTCAAAGTGTATATTCATTCGTTTATTTGGCAACATAGAAGTATTGGAGATACACTGTCATAAAAAGGGGTGCAGCCTGGTTTTGTTCCCCAAGATACAAACAACTATAATGCACCATCAGTGGTAGAGAAATGTTCATCAAAGTCCATTTCTGTACCTTAAATTAGACTAACTGGTACATCTACTTATAGCTGGGGTGTCCTTGGCAGACCATTGAGGGTACAGCCCCATTGACAAGTAATTGTACCCTCAAAGGTACAAATACAGAATGTACATTAGAAGTGTACATAGATATTGAATCTTCTCCAGAATTCATTAGAAGAATTTCATTTATTTCTCATTAAATGAATTTCAGCTGTGAGACTCACGTTCGTGCAGTACCGTCTCCGGCTTCTCCTGGGTCAGAGATCTCACTACTGTCTCGATCGGCCTCGTCCGCCCCAGGTGGTCTCAGGATTCGTGTCCGAGGTCGACTACAAACCCGTGGCCAGATCCATCCGTGACCGGGTGACGGCCATCAAGCGGCAGAGGGACAAGCTGAGCAGGCCGAGGAAGACTACGCTGGAAAGGGATGAGGAGCGTGGGCAACAGATAGCAGCTGCTAAGGTTCCTGGCCCAGCTTCTGAGGGCATCCTGCCCATGCTCACCGTGTCTGCTCCTGCCCCTCCCCCGTCTGACAGGTCTGCAGACTCCCACATGAGTCCACTCCTCTGCTCGGCACCCAAGGAGCCTGATGCACATCCTCATGACCTCAGTCTGCAGCCCAGCTGCTCCCCCTTCACTTGTAAGAGCATAATTTGGTATTTTCAGCTGCGCAGGACTGACGGAGCAGAGTGTAAAGAGGGATCACAGCAGAACCCTTTACTTTCCTGCTCCCTAGAATGAAATGTACTTAACAGAAGACACATTAACATGGCTAGAAGCTCCCTAGTGTTCTGTACGATGGTGTAGTCATCGACGGGTGGGCTTAAGATTTTAATAAACAAGGTTAGTTGAGGCCTCTTTTTAGCATAGTTCAGTGGGCAAGGCCGTGCATTAAAATGCTCCTGGTGACGGAGCATCTACTATATCACAGCGCCGGACGGACCGAGGCATCGCGAGGGAGGTGAAGGGCCTTAATTATAGTCCTGAACAGGACTGTAGCAGGCATGTAATGGGCACCGAACTGAACATAATAGGGAGACACGTGGGGGTCAGACGCTGAGCTGTAAGGTACAAAGCTACACAAAGCTACGGACATGCGAGTAGTGCACGGGGATCGCATAAGACAGGGGCAACGTACACGCCACAGCTGGGAAGTACAGCCTTCAACGCCAACGATATAACAAGGGCTATTCACAAGACACAGACAGGGGCTGTTTATGATTGCCGCCGAGCATGCTGGGATACGGTGACCCCCGCCAGTGCTACAATGTGAATAAGCCTACCTGAGACTTCTTAATGAACCAATCAGGCCAGCCGTTACAGGCTTACAGGAGCTTAATAAAGTTATGCCTCTGTTAATATTGGACTTTTTTTTTTATATACCTTTTTTGTCCCTGTTTTTCTTGATGATTTGGCTTTGACATTCCTGTGCTGGTTGTAACCACACCTACTTATATGACCCAGAAACACACACACATATATAAATATAAATATATATAATATATAATATGGTAAATTCCCGTGTCACATACTTTTGTGCGTAAACTATTCTTCTTTAACAGGTGCAAGTATTTTATGGAAAATAAAAATTCATTCAGCCTGAAAATGAAAAAAAAGAAAAATCCCATAAATTTAAATTTTATTTTTGGCGTCATTGAATCATGTTTCAAATTAGGTTAGACTGAAACTTGAAAGAGAAAAGAAGTGACCAAATTAGCATTGCCTGTCAGTTTCTGTTTTAAACGTGTTGTGGTTTATCTTGTGGCTGCTTACCGAGGATAACCGTCTTCCTATATTACCCTCTAACGTACCGGAAATAAACTTTAAGTCTCCTTTGACATAGTTGTATCAGTCTAGCTCAAAAAAAAATCATATCATAAAGCCTTTCGCAAAAATGAAATGAAATGACATTGTATGTATGGATGAAAGCAGAACTGCGGTAAATTCTGACATGTTGATAGAGCATCTAGTCGTGCAAAATAAAGCAATACAGCAACACTAATTATTATTATTATTACTTGCAATGTTAAAGCACCTCTTTATTTGTCCATCAATGATGTGATCACTGTGTCTGTTTTTATGGCAGCTGAATGTGAGACAGACGGCTTTCTGAGCTCTTCTGAGGGAATTCCCACTCCTCAACATTCTCCACTAAGTCCCGCCCCACCCAAGCAAACTCTACAAATCCCAGCCCTTTGCTACCCCCTGGTGGGTGTCTTTGTCATTTCAGGTTGTTTCCTGAGTCAGTCGTTTCTGTTTTATATTGAGCTGCATTGCTCTGATCTCTCTATAACGTATTTTGCAAATCCCTAGAGTGTTGCAGAGTCCCATAATACTGAGTGCAGTCAGTCAGGATCAAGCAGCGGTCTTTCCTCTCCCGTTGACAGGTATCAATCATCATCATTTATACATTATTTATTTTTTTGACTTTTCAGTGAACATAGAGCGAACACATAACCCCCCACACACAGGCCCAGCATAAGTATAGAGCAGGGCTCTTCAAATCTGGACCTCGATTCCAAATCCAGGCCGTGTTTTCAGTTCTCCCAGGTAGTTAGTTTAATAATTGCTGATTCTGATTGGCCAGAGGCTTCACACCTGACCCACAGGTAAAGGAAGGCTGGAAAACCAGCAGGGCTCGGACCTCGAGGACCATGATTTGAATAATAGGGGTATAGAGTGTATACCCTACTAAACTGTAGGGAAACACTGTCTGTGATTTGAATTCGTAATCGGATTCATTAATCAGAAGAACATTGGCTTAGTCTACTTACTTTGGGGTGTCACGTAAAGCAATCAAGGACAATCAACAAAATAAATTATATGCATAAACAAAACGATGTGCTTAGTGCAAGTAATTAACATTAAATGACCTACAGCCACACGGTACATTTCCAGTCCTTAACAGAGACCCAGTATCTTTCGATGTCATTAAAAAAATAAGGTATTTGATTCCAATTCTGACATGAAACCTGATGCTCAGTGACGGACATGAAGGAGTCCTAACGGAAGGCAAGATCTCCCGGGGGGGGAACCGGCCTCAGCTACACATCACCAGGGTGGGTGTCTGTCCATAATACTGTTACAGCCAAATAATAAATACCTTTCTAATCATCCATCTTTCAATTGCTTATACTGTTCAGGGTCATAGAACAATTAGTAGATTTATGAGTGAATGCAGCCAATCTCCTGGTTAAGAATGTCCGAGTTACGGACCACTCGTACTTAGGAACGGACGGCCATAAAGCGCAGTATACTAAAATTTCGGGTTAAATGCAATGGTTCGTAATAACGAATAACTTTGTAACGCTCGTGAAAACATTGCGCGTCTTCAGCAGTTCGTCACATGAAGGTACAGTACAGTACCGTTACTATTTCATTATTATATTGACCGTATTGTTATTAACTATAATGTTTTTTTCAACTTACCTACAAATTCGACTTAAAGACAGACTTAAGCAATGGAACTCCTTCGTAACCTGGGCACTGCCTTTATTTTCTGTCTCCAATTTACAAATGTCTTCTAGACCAATGATCAATAGTCTTCATTATTATATACCCAGCACTACTATGTATTCTGGTAGTCTTAAGTTACATTTATACACTGAGACACATAACTAAAATACAGAACTTCTGTTATATAGAAAGAGGGCAACATGAAGAATTATTGTGAAAAGGAAATGTTTCTGAATTGTGATTTTTTTTTTTTTTTACCACAGTTTGATTTTGAAACATTTTGCTATTGAAAATTAACACTTAATTTCCCACCTAAATTCTGAACGTGAAAGGTGACTGTCACTGGAAGGCTGAGTCTCTCTTGGTCCACAGCTATCGGACAATGAGGACCGTGTGGTGGAGTGCCAGTTACAGACTCACAACAAAACAATGGTGACCTTTAAGTTTGACCTTGACGGGGACAGTCCCGAGGACATCGCCACTGTCATGGTGAGCCCCCACCTGCGACAGGATTCGGAAATCAACTCTGGGAGTGTTCACCTGAAAACAAGATGTTGCTATATTACCATGGTTATGTATTAAAATAAGGATAAAATTGTGTCAAATACACAGTTTGAGTGTTGAAGGTTAAAAAAGTTGCGTTAGTACAGATAACAGTGCACATGTACTGTCTGATTAACTATTTTCACGGCCCAGTATCTCATCTTTCGAGCCCTTTGTTGCTGTCTGCGTCCCCTTCATGGTTCACAGGTCAACAATAAGTTCATACTCCCAACTGAATGGGACGGGTTTATCCTCAACCTGCGTGACATCATCAGGAAGGCTGAGGCCCTCATGAGAGGAAAGCCCTCTGGCCAGGATGACCCAGCAGGGATTTCCCAAAAGCTGTCTGTGAAAAAGGCCCGAACTCTGTCTGCCCCTCAGGTCAGCCTGTGTCTTACTTCTATATCCTGGTCATCTATGAGCGCCTGATTTAACTGGCACATAGAACACCAAAGCACTACAATACTACAATAGTATGTGGTTTCTCTACTTTTGCAAAATGTCTTTATGCTAAGTCTGAAGATACATACCTATATACCTATTTAACACAAACAAGCAAGAAGTCCGCCAGCTTTTATGATGTTTCTACAGGTGATTCCTGAAACCCCCGTCGGCTGTGAAGGTGAGATGCCGTTCACACTAATATATGCAGCATCTCATAGGATCAATTTCTGCAGAATGTTAACGAGAACAGCTAGACTGCAAAGGAACGCTCACCATTTTCAAAGTTATTTTAGTTATGTTACTTATTGTTTGTGGTCCTTTGCAAAATACATTATTTGCTTCAGTTTTTTGTTTTTCATAGTAATTACACAATTCTAATACCACAGTATATTGCCTCACTTTTTTAATTTTACACATTTTCAATTCGGTCTGAATCTCAAAACACATCAACTGCATGATAAAACCAGTGATGATAATGATCTCAAATTACCACTATCGGCGTGTCACAGTGTTACATTACAGCCTTATGTTTCATGCCAAAACTGGCTAAGGAAACAAGTGCAATACGTAGTTTGTTTGTAACTGTTTGTTTGTAGGTACGAAAGAAAGTAGCGTTCAGGCTCTTTCAGAGTGACTGTGTTTTTATTTTGCACTGGAGAATTGCACTTTAATTTCGTTGTACAATGTCTCATTGCTACAATGACAATAAAGATTCTATTCTATTCTATTTTAGCTAATATATCCATTTACTGTTAATGTCCATTTAACCCCATACAGATGTGGAAACCATAGCCTTTCTGTCAAAATCCCCTCTGGACAAAAGCTCCACGTCTCAGGCCAGTCAGACGAAGAACAGCGAAGAGGAGCAACAGGATTCGGAGGCGAGCCTGAACACTGGGCTGATGCTCTCTGGTCAGATATCCAGGAACAGTTTGGAATATAGCACCACAGTGAGAAGGATGATGGAAGCAGAAGAGCAAATAAAGGAAGGCGAGGTAGCAGAGCCAGAGCAGAGGAGCCAGTACAGTGAAGGAACAGGAGAGAGCCATGCAGAGGGTGGCTGTGATGAAAGCATCCAGCAGAATGTCACCTTGCAGCCGCTTTGGATAAACTATGCTGGCAGCTCCTACCAGAGCAGCGATGAGACAGAGACTGAGGATGAAGAGATCTGGGAGGAGCTGGAGGAACTTCGGAGCAGGTGAGTACTTAGAAATCCACTCCTTACTTTATACTTTTTAATGGCCAAATGGAAGCTTCATGAACCATTTGCTGTATTTTTTGACACCACTAGATGGTGCTCTTGGATTGCTTTGGGGCGTGCTTTGAGCCCTTTTTTTTTAAACAGAGAGCAGGATAGAATGTCCAAGTAACTAAAACAAAAAAGTGGACCGTAATGTACTAGTACTGTACAAGTTTTCTGAAAACAACCTATTTCACGTTTTGTTTTTCTTTCAATGTTAATGCCTGTTTTCAGACACCAGTTAGAGGTTCAGGAACTGCAAGCTACCCAGAAGCAAGAGATTGAGGAACTCTATCAGAGCATGGGAAAGGTGCCCCCTGCAGGCATTGTTTCCCCCGCTACGATGCTGTCCAACCACCAGCGGCACTTGGCAAAAGCCTACATCTCATCCCTCAAAAACAGCTTACTGAGACTTGATCTTGTACCACCCACTGGTAGGCTTCTCCTTTGCTTCAGTTAGCACCATCCTTTACAGAACACACTGCATAAAAAGAATGATGAGATATGAGTGGTTTGCAGTCCTGGATCACAGTGCAACCCAACTGCTCAACCCATTACCTTCTGCGTGGGTCCAGACTTAGCAAACCCATAACATTTCACTGTCTGAGAGTGAAGCTGGATAGTAAACAGTGTTGCCACAAGGGCGTTGACTGGCACCTGTATGTATGAAGCATATGCTAATTACTGTCTACTGTATACCACTGTTTGGCTTGATAAGGTGGTCCATCATCAGGGACTGTGCGGAAAAACTCACAAGACAGGCCAAGCAAAGGAGTGACCTTCAAAACGGTGAGCATGGGACCTCAAAGCTAAATGGCATCATTCATATCACCACATCACACACACAGATTCCTGTCCTTCGTAGTTCCAGTTTTAAATGTTTGTTGTCCTTTTCTTCTGCCTTTTCTAGTGAGCAGCTTTTGCCTGGATCATCTTGACTTGTGTGGTTCCCTCCTTTGATCACACGACGTCCCCCTTGTTTCCCAGAAGGATGGGGCTCACCAGTCTAAAAAGGGGACTCCTTACCTAACTGATTCTTTTTTTACTGGACTGCAGACCACTGGTGGACTCAGGGTGCCTCCTTGCTGCCCCCACGGCTGAAAAAATGTTGCTGCTCTTGTTAATAGCAAAAATGCTTGTGGTGCACTATGGGTGCCTTTCTAGTGGAAAAACTCCATGAAGTGCCCTCTAAGGTTACCCTTCCAAGTGAGCATACATGATCAAGTGCCCTTGGGATGGAGATGGGATCTCTGATAGCCCACTATGAGATGCAGCGTCCTGCATTTGTGAGATAATCAGATGAAATAATGTACCCTGTATGTGTTCTTATGTACAGGAAAATGTTACACCCAGGTTACCTCTGTAGTCGACAAGACATTGAATAACCATAATCGGGGATGATAACTATTTCTCCCTATGCAGCGTGCCATTCCATTAGGTGGGGGAGTGTGCATGTCCTTCAGCTGGTGCCCTTTTCAGTTTTTCGCCCCTGTCCCTCAAACAGCCCGAGTTCTACACTGCTACGCACAGTTTAATCAGAAACAGATGCAAACGCTCACATAAGAAAATGCATTGTATTGGTTGTTGGGTGCTAATGGAACAGTGTGTTTTTAAGTTAATACGTTTTCCACAAAGTTTTCAGTGGTCCTTGTATGCGTACATCAATGAGAATATATTATGCAAACTTTGTACTCTTTGTCAAATTGCTGTATGTCCTCTGAAATACAACATGCGAACTTGGCATCCCAAACAGGACATAAAGTGTATTGTTGCTATTAATTCTGAAAGCTTTGCCCTAAAAACAAAAATTAATTTATATCCTGACATAACTTGTGATACCAAGAAACTGACTCGCCAGTAGATGATAGAGCTAGTTTATTGTGTTAGTATTTAACCATAGATTTAGGCAGCAAAAATAACTGTACATTTCAGGTTTATTCATCAACTCAAAATACAATATAGCAACAAATATTTGAACTATCACCACCCTCACTCTATATCAACTTTCACAACTTGCTGTATGAAAACGTTTAGCAGAAGTAGAGTTTTGGTGTAAACGGATAAAGCCGTTTACATGGTTTCATTGGTTTTGCTACTAATTTTTCCTGAGTTTCAAAAAGGCCACAAACCGCAGGGACCCCTAGAGCTGAGGTCTCACGTTATGTTTAGCAAGTTAACCAGTTTTATTAAGATTAAGATTCAATGGGAAATTAGTCCAAAATGGATGGTAAGTACTGAAATTTCTCCTGGAAGCTCAGTTCTGACATTACATTGGATGCCATTCTTGTTCTTACAGTCTTCCATACACAACACTGACTAACTCTCTTAATACATGCTTTAATTTTAAGTTGTAGGGTTAATAAGGCTTATTTAAACTGTGTGTCTCCATTCACTGGAAGCAACAGTAATCATGTAAGTAAAATAATCCAGTTTAATAGCTGTACAAAAGTCAAAATATTCTATTGCCTGTTTAATAATATGAAGATAATCAGATTTTCCAGAAAATTACAATAAAAATTTTATGTCAAACAAATATAATGATCGCAGTAATAGTCACATAGTTTACCTGAAAAACATGTGCAATTCCTTCAAGTAATACAATGACCACTGAAAGCCTTTTTGTCAGCGCACCATTCGTAAAAGTCAAATGGCCATCTAACATAAATGAAACTCCATTTTGGCTATATGTACTTGGCACAATACCAGTTTCCTATGATTTAATCTGTACGCGATTCCTTACGATCTTACAGAAGAGAAAAGTAAACAGTATTGCACGCAAGCTTTCATTAATAATAATCTTCTATGAGATATTACATTTCTGAGGGAAGACAATATCAGGAACACAGGGAATGCATTCGCAGGAATTCGCAAGATTCATTGCACCTCTGGGTGAACAGGGGAGGGGCTTGTGTTTCACTTCTTTAACCAATCACAGTCTTCATTGTATGATGTCACCACGTTAGTCTGCTTTTTTCCCCTCATTTTCAAATTCAAGGCTTCCAGTAAGCAAGACCAGGACAGTGTGTGGCTCAGCAGGCTCAGGATGGTCCAATGTGTGGCTCAGCAGGCTCAGGATGGTCCAAACCTAGCACTGGCAGACCAACCACATGTTTGTGGGCCTTTGAGAAAGGTCCTTAACTGCTGGTTGTTATCGTCATCATCATCATGAAATAAAGATGCACCCTTACATTGCTCTGTACAGCCTTTGCAGGTAAGCAAATCTGTGCACCTTGCCGCTTACCAGAAAACACTAGTTTTAATTAATGCGGTGATGTCATACAATGAGGACTGTGATTGGTTAATGAAGTGAAATGCAAGCCCCTCCCTCATTGACCCAGGGACGTGCGGAACTCAGGAAAATCAGGACATGTTGCATTTGTACTGTAGGTAGCTATTGTCTACAACCTGTCCCATTCTTCATAGCATAGACATAGACACATTATATGTACATAGGGCCTTCAGGAAAAGCGCCAACTCTCAGTCTGCAGCTCTCCTTGAGACGCCTTCATTAGACGCGCCACTTGTCATGCCTGGAAGATCTTATCAGTCTCTTTCAGCATGAACTCCACTATCTGCGTCTGGAAGATCATGTACATGGTGATGTTGGCTGATTCTACCTCAGGTCGGAGCAACGTGGGTCCAAAGACAATGGCCACACTCTGAGCCGACATTCGGTTCTTCTCTCCAAACTGGATCACTCTGTTGAACAACATATGGAATGAGAGAAAAACCTCAACAATAAATGAATGTAAGACGTCTGGAATATTGTATTTGTAGATATACATATATACATATATACAAATACAGCCAGTCTGGCCCTCCTAATATCTTGCAAGGTACAAGGTATGTTTATGGGTATGTCTATAAATATATCTATTGGTGTCTCTAACAGAGGTGGATTGTTCAGGTCCATGAAGTAAAGATCCAACCAACAAGCTGAGTATAGTCACAGTCACAGAGTACTCAACTGGTTGAAACAAAACCTTGGTCTAGATTTTTACTTTCTTGACCTGAACTAACCACCTGTGGTCCCAAATGCATAATGTGTATGGGTATGTGTGTTTTATTGGTGAATCTGTGATGATCTTCATTGAGATATTCAATTTGTTCAGTACCTAAAATAAAATTATATTCTTTCTCTGGGTAAATCACATGAAAGAATTTGTGGACAAACCTCACCAGAGGGATTGATACATTTCCCAAAGTTCAACAAGTAACTGCACATTCAGCAGTATGTAGATGTCATCACAGCCCACGAAGGCCATGAAAAAGCTGGAGAACCAAAGCACTCACTTGTGTAAGTGCCCGAAGAGGACTTTCATGGTGTCATAGTTCGGCTGCGGCAGGGACCTCACCAGCTCACAAATGGTGTTCATCTTCAGGGAATAGTCAGTATTGTCTGTAGCAGGAAAAAAACCCACCTTAACAAGCCACACTAAACTGGTAAACTGGAGCTATGAGGTGGACAGGGAGCCTCAAACGCAGGTCATGGGGAAGTAAAGAGAAAAACCCTCACTGATGGCTGCTATGAATTTGTTGAAGTGACTGAAAGGAAAGAGAGGTTCTGGAAGCTCTCGGAAAAAGAGTTTCAGGGCGCCGGTGATGACGTGGATCTCCTCCCACTGTCCGTCATCCAGGTCCAGGTTCTCCTCTAAGGGATGAACAGACACAACAAGGAACATTAGCAGATACCCGCTGCTGCAGGATGGCCGTTCTCAAGCACGAGAAGCAGTGTTACATTTACACTCTGATGATGCTGCATTTGTACTGTATGTTCATTTCCACGACACTTTTTTGCCCAAAATCGGCAATCTTTTTTTGTTTCTATAGTCAATTATCAGTTTCTTTTTTATACTTTCTGGAACAAGAATTTCACACAATAAAGATAAAGCAAAAATTAACCCCCCCCCCCCCTCCACCACAGTTAGCAAACGTCACTGTTGGGGGACCCACTCATACATTTAAATGTGTACAAATTTAAACTTTATATTTAGATTACATGCAAATTACAGTCAATTGTAAAGAGAACATTCGAGGGCTGAAGTGTTTCTCACCGTGATCCACTTTGTAGCGTAATTTCTGAATAACAGCCAAGTTACCGCTGACTCGATAGATGCCGTCAATATCCAGACCTGTTCCCAAGACAACTCTAAATGTAACTCAGTGATGGAAAAAAACAATGGATACAAAAATCCTAGCATTATATCGCACGTTCACCCCAATGAAATATAGGCCAGTTGAATCAGATTGATTAAAACAAGGTTTCAATCAATTGTTTCAATATATTGAAAAAAAGAAACACACAGATCCCTTTCTTTCAAGTCTTCATAGCTGGACTTGCCAAAACATATGAGAACAAATGAAAGTATTAAAAAAAGACTGACCTCTTTTCTCCACAGACTTGATGCATTTATCCACGAAGGACGGGACAGTGGATCTCTCCCTGGTGCACAAGTTTTCCAGAGGACAGCCAAACACATTCTCTGCAGGTGAACCAGAAATAAGATGCTTATGCACAAGACCTACAGCTACAAATACTGCAGCACAACAATAACCGCAGCATAAGCTATAAAAATGCACCTTTGAAAATACTTATATACAGACTTGCATATTTGAGAACAGTTTTTTCATGTCTTGCGCAGTATAAATCAGTGAAATTGTAATACAGTTGAGTCATGCTAGAAGTAAATAAAAACATGAAGTGAAAAAATAAGAATATATAAGTTTCTAAGATAAAGTATTATCAACATGCAATCTATGATGTCAGCCAGGGTTTCACAGAATATGCTAGTTACCGGTGCAAAAGAATCTGATAACTGGTGAACTATAAACAGTATGTAATGTGATTTAATGACACCTTATAGCTGTTTAGTGCAGAGAGGAGGACCTGTGAGCAGGGGGCGCTACCTTGGATGTAGCCTCTCTCTTTGACAGACTGCAGCGTTGGCCTCCTCTGCAGGAACCTGCGCAGTTTGTTCCGCACCCTGCCCTGTTCTGACTCGGTACTGGAGACAGGCGTGCTGTGCCTGCCGTCTGCGCACAAAGTGGTGCACAAAGTGGTGCACAAAGTGTCACACAACTGCAGGAACTGAGCAAGAGCAGAAGTTACATGTGACAGCCAGAATCTGAGTACCCTGTGAGTACCCTGTGAGTACCCTGTGAGTACCCTGTCTTTCTTGTTACTTTTTACTTAACATATTGTGTCAGATGCATAAGTCACAACTCAAAACCCATCTTTTTAAGTTGGCTTACTCGCTTTAGACCTCATGTTGTCTGATTATGTAAATAACTGTTTTTAATTATTTGTTTTTATTGTTTGTCTATGTAAGGTGACCTTGGGTTTTAGAAAGGCGCCCACAAATAAAATGCATTATTATTATTATTATTATTATTATTATTATAACATTACTGTATGTAGTTTTGATCGCTGAAATATTGGAATCTTCAAACCGTATACTACTACTGCTATCCTGATAAGTCAAAAACTGTATGTCCATAAAAATGCAAATAATTTCAATGAGATATTTTGATTTTCTAGTCTGGAACATCGGATGAAGCACTAGACACGTTGCAAGCAGAAGATGCTTGCTTTGTTTTCTGGAAAATATAACGTAAAAGTCCTTCGCAACCTGTTCGCAAAAATATATTAGAAATTAAACGGATTGATGATCGTTTGAAGCCAGTTTTGAAAGTTCAACATACAGTTCTTCTTCTTGTCGTCTTTGTCTCCGTGACCTGGGACCTTCTCATCATGTTCATCTTCCTCTTCATCACTCTGATCGTCCCGATCCTGGAGAAATGAATGCATATTAGATAGATGCATGTGAGTCCATGCTAGAGCAAAAGCTGGATTTTACATCATAAAACATACACAATGCATACAAGTCTGCATCATAAATGTTTTGTGTTACTGGCTTATATATCAATCCAAAAATATACATTTGACAAGGCTAAGCAAGTTCAGGAATCCAATTTGTAGCTCTGTGGTAGAATATTTCTACGTTAAGTTTCAAAGTACTGGATCAGAGACTCACCAACTGATGAATGGTATCCTTAATGGTATAGTACCAATCAGTGATGATACTGATTGTGTCGTACTGCATGAGGTACTCAGAACCGTGCCTTGTTTTTAGCTGGGGAAAGAGCCGTCAATAGTAAATATTTTAAATAAACTTTGTCAGGACCAGACGTAACATAATTAATGCACAAGCTCAGACAACAGTCCATGAATTGTTTTGTTGTTCTTATTCAGTTTCAGCGTTTCCTTAGCTATCAATTCAGTGCCACCCGAAGGAGATCATCGCTTCTGTTTTCCAGGACTTTCAGTTCTCTGGTGAGAAGTTGGATTTCTCAAGGGATGTTTCTCATGAGTTTTTTCAGTCAGAAAATCAGTCTCATACCTCCAAAACGTTCTTCTTGCTGGATTTGTCTTTGGTCGCCCAGTTAATAGTAGCTCCCCGTAGCTCGACCGTGTACTCAGGGATGATCTGAGTGCTTTTATTCTACAAATGCAAAACATTAGGATTTAAGGTTCTGATGGCAGAGCCTTGAGGTAAGAAAGGTAATGTAAACATCTTCTAAATTATTAAAAAAAAAAAAACAAAAACAAACAACCTTACTTTTAGTCAGGGAGTCAGGGGTAGGCAACCCTGATCCTGGATTGTCAGTGTCCAGCTGGTTTTCCATCCTACCTGATCTCTGAGGAGCCACACCTGATCTCAGGCAGATAGTAACTCATCAAGTAGGATGGAAAACCTGCTAGATACCAGCACTCCAAGATCAGGGTTACCTACCCCTGCTTTAAGTTTAAACTTTGCGATTAGACAAATCTGTACATTAACTTGTCTATATGTTTAATGATCAGTAGCGATATGTAATTATAGGTTCTTTGTTAATTTTTTTAGGAACCAAGTGATACATAAGATTCAGTTATTTTACAATTGCTCCCGCTGGTGTAGACTTGGGGTCTTTGTGAAATGTTAGAATGCCACCGTGGAGTACCGTCCAAGATGGGGACCAGCTTTTTCTGTAGATAAAAACATGCAGTCAGTTCATAGACAAGGATCTTGTTCTATTCTAACTGTTTAATTGACCAACTTTAGCTCTGCTGCTTCCAGGAATAGCAAGGAAAGCAAAAAAGCAAAAAAACCTCAGTCTTTTTCCATTGTCAGAGATCTTGGTCTTGTTGACAATCCCTGCCTTCTCCAAAATATGGCTCTAAAGAGAATAGTAAATATTATCCATCCAATGTGTTAAGTTGTCATATACACAGCAATGCTACTCTCAAATCAAAAATATATACAGTCCCAGGTGGGGATATTGTTTAAAATATAAGTTTAAAATCTTAGTCGGTGATATATCACACCGTGATATATCAAAAAACTCATAAGGTCTTGCAACAAAATTAGAACCTATTTTTCATCTACAATTTTATGGTTAAAGTGTACAATTTCCAGGTTTGCAAAGGTGGATCTGCTGAGAATTAGGGCACTTTTGTGTTTTTGAAGATCCAATAAGGTGTTGAAATCTGATGAGTACGTGGAGTGTCCCCTGAGGAGGGGTTAGGGGCCTGACGTGGTGTTTATCTAGCCATCCAACCAGATATCAGTAACTTTTTGGAGAACAGTAGAAATTCTTTTTAGCCTTCATTGTGACATCATATTTTAATGTTAAATTGAGTTTTTCTTGTTTGCAAATATACTGATAATATTTCTTTAACTACCTATGACTTGTGCACAGTACTGTATACAAACATATATTCTGGCACCAAGATACTAGACAAATGGTGCTGTAACAAATGTATCAGGTGACCATCTTCAAAGTCAGTCAAAGTGAAGTTTATTTTCATCCCCACCATATACAAGCATAGAGACAGACGAAATGGCGAAGTTCAGGGACCACAGTCTAAACATAAACATAAAAGAAAATAATCCAGTGTGCAAAGGACATGTAGGATAGTGCAATTTAAGAAGAATTATATATTGTTCAATATATGGCAATGTGCAATATATGGTAATATGCAATATTGGATGAGGTGCAATATTGTTAAAACTATATTAAATATATGTTAAGTGTCTATTGTAATCAGAGATGGTGAATTAGACCCGAGTTCACCAACATGTACATTGTAGTAGCTTGAGTTCACAGTGCATGACAGTGTGTGTTGATAGCAGTAACAGCACTAACATGTCAAAAATTTCTAACAGCCGAAAACAGGAATAAAAGCAGAATAATGGACCGCACGCAGAATCATGGGGAATTCTCTTACATGGTGATGTGTTTCTTCACCTGAGCAGTCTGAGGTTCTTCTCTTGGGGGCTGATGAAAAACTCTGACGAAAGAGGGGAAGTGACAGGTCAGCGAGCCAGGAATGACAGGAAGGACCGAGGACGTCCCACAGGCCTGTCCGAGTCCGCGCTCATTGTCGTCTGGTAGCGTCGTGCAGGATGGGCAAAGATGTTGCTGTGTGTAATAAATTTACAAGGGAAATGGAAGCCAGCAGCTGTTTCCCTCTCCTGTGGCCTGCATCACTGGTCACCTGTTTGCTTTGTGCAAATAAAATACGGGATACGATGCCTGGCGACCACATAACCAAAACTGGAACCACTGGGCCGGCCTTTTCTGAGCTGAAACTGAAACTAACATATATAAAAACTAAACAGAAATATAACTTAAACAGAAATATATTAAAAACTAACAAAACTACAATGAAAACTAACTAAAACTAATCTGGATTTCAAATGGAAATTGAACTGAATATAAGCATAAATAGAAAAATCAAACATATATAATATAAAAGCTGGTAAATACACATTTACTTGGAGGGGGTAAAAAACATTTTAGGGGGCTAAAGCCCCCGTAAAATAGGCCTAACGACGCCCCTGCTGCTGACCCCCCCACAGGGGGGCTGATCTCCAGCCTTTCAGCTCTCAGTCCAAACAAAGAAGGTACTTCATGTTTCTTTTAGGCAGCCGTTCGGCAGCATGAGCCAAGCTGCCGACAGCTGCATCACATCCAGGATTGTTTATGAGCAGACTGAGGGCCACTCAACTTCATTAATACTTAAACTATCGTGGATATTCTGTAAAGACGGTAATGTTTTCGCAATTCATTCACAGCACTAGCACTGAAGCGCATAAATGCAGAAAAATTACACACCTCTCCTTGAGTCAGGGGTTGGCAATCTTATCCAGAAAGGGCCGTTGTGTATGTGGCTTTTCGCTGTAATTCCCTAATTAGATTACTAATTTGAGGACTGATTGGCTGAAGAGTCCTCACACCTGGGGTTTGGGCCCTTTGCAGATAGGTTTGCTCACCCCAACCTTAGGTACTAAGGTGAATTTTTCAGCATCTTTTTTTTCCAATCTGCTGCTGCCCCCTACAGGCTACTCACTATATCATCCAGATTTCCACTGAAGTTAGACAGGCTGTGCCTCCAGTTCTTCATGACAGAGAGTCCGCCATCGACGGTAAACCCCATTTTCGGCTGGCCGGATGGTACAGGCAGCTGAGGAGAGTGTAACGGACCAACAACAGGCCAAATTAAACCATAATAGCCAAAAGCAACCAGAACCTAAGCATAATCTAACATTAGCTGGGAACACACATATGCCATCGCTGTGTTTTATGAAGCTTGCACTTACTGTAACTTCAATGAAACATAATATCATAAGCGTAATAACGTCTTACAGCAAACATCTACGCACATGTGCATACACATACATACAGTAGTCGAGTGGTAAAAATATTTCAAGGGGGTTGGTGGGGGTGCAAGGGGGGAGAGATGAAAAAGTTTTTTGGAAAGAGGGGGGGGGGGTGACTGCACAGTCTGAATTTCGGTCCAGTCCAATCAGAGATGGGTACCTCTGCTGTGGTTGGTAGATTTAGCTTTATGCGAGTAACAATTACACAGAACACTTTAGGTGGGATGGACTGGGGGATGGTATATTTTCATGGATGATTTACTTTATTTGTTTCTTTGTTTGCTTGTTTGCTTATTTATTTTTTTATTTCATAGCATCATGCATTTTCTTTCTTTTAATTGTACAATATATTCCTCTGGGATATATGCTACAAGCCTCTAAATCAAGGCTCCCCAACTGCAGCCCGGGCACGCCAGTCTGCACCATAGTTTGTTGATTTCCCTGCTCAAACACACCTCATAAACCTGGCAGTTAGCTGGGGAGCTGAATAAGGCGTGTTTGAGCAGGATAATCTGCTGACTGTGTTGCAGACTGGCCTCCAGAACCCGGAACTGGGGAACCCCGCTCCAAATGTTTGGTTAAAGTCAGTGGGAGGGGCTGGTACTTTATTCACTTCCTTCATTCCCCACCCCCCAGTATCTTTTTCAGGATTCTAGCCTTAAAAAAGGACAGGAACAACAAGCCTGAGAGCCAAAATATAAAAACGGGATAGAAACAATTGGCTTCCCAGCTTGACTTCCCGCCATTGTCTGATCAAGTTTTCCGGGCTGGACTTAAGCAAGAGTCTTGATTGACGGCAAAGTGAAAAACCAATAGGGCCAATGATGTGATTGGTTGAAGTTCAACCAATGAGAGGACAGTTTTATTGTTTGAATGAGATGGCGTCAGCATAGCAGCTCAGTATGGCTGTTGCCTACTGACAACAGAATGACGAAGACCACAGACCTACTTAACATTACCATTGTGCCCATGAACAAGGCCCTTAACATAACCACTTTAGGGCACTGAATACTGCAGACCCTGCTGTCCGACACCAAGCTTTCCTCATTCGAATGACACTTCAGATAAAAGTTGAGAGGAATGAAAAGTGATTCTTGATTTTGAATGGGATTTAGTATTTTTCACCTCACTATTGCTAGATTTTTTTGGAACCCAGGATGCACTAAAGATGTAGCTGAACAACTCAACGCAACTCCACCTCCCTCCCTCATCAAAATCTGCAGTTATATTTTCAAACTCTATACATCTCCTGAACAAACAAACCTGGCAGATTCCCACATGACGTTAACCTAATTGCATCTCCAATACAGAAGAAAAGCATATTTTCTGAGTTACGTCACAGATATAGACGAATGGAGTTTCACTGAAGACTGTAGAGATGAGTATTGTCACGAGTGAATGCTGAATGACATTATGCTGTGCCGAGGTTCAGGCGTAAGAAAAGCCATCCGCGAGTCACGGCCGTGGCATCGGCCCGGTGCAGTACCTGCTCCTGCTTCACCTCGCCAGTGAGCGCCGGCTTCCCATACGGGTCCGACGTGTGCCGCCAGCCAGACAGCGTGTTAAAATCCACAGCGGCCCGAGGGATGGTGGGGTGGAAGTCCTCGGGGAAGACCAGCGGCCCCCAGCCATCCTGGCTGTCGTCAGGATAGTCCTCTTCTGGGAGGGGAGGCTGGAGCATCAGCATAAGCAGACATGGAAAAGTCACAATACTGTAGCTATAAACTAAAACTATTCTTCATATTGTTCTTCTTCATATTCTTCATATTAATGTTATAACTATTACTGCCTAGTGTTTGAATGTTGGGGTTACTGGCTTATCGGGGTAACTTGTACCACAGGTTAAATGGACTTCATATTCGTTCACTTGCATTTTGCCCAGACTACCTTAAATCCGACAAGTTATCCGGATAAGCCAGTAATCCCGCTTCGTAGTACAGGCCCCTGGGATGCTACCACTTCGCTAATAGATGGACAGAAATTTTAGCTGTGTGGGAATGCAGAGTGAAAGCCTGTTGCTTAATCTATACTATATTCCAGCTATTATCCAACGTTCAGTGAATTAAGGAGGAACTTACTGGTACATCGTCCTGGACTCTCGGTAGCCCCTGGGGCTCTGCTGACTTGGCGGGCCAGACTGTGCTCCCTGTCGGCGGGTTGTAGGAATAATGGCGCCCACCAGTCCCATCTGTCTCCACCTTGGAGTCGGCGGTCGTGCCGGTAGTTGCAGAAGGGGTTGAAGGAGCTTCCTGTACAGGTAGCTGCTCTTTGGGAGAACTGCAAGCACCGGCCGCGGTGACCTGAGCTGTCTCGTGATTGTTGTTAGATGAGTTCACCGATGCTTGTGGAAGATTATTTTTGGGCTCATTTACACTGGGATAAACAGAGGTGCTGTCATTCTCTGTCTGTAAAAGAAAATACGGGTGATTGCTATCAACAGAGACCCACACTCAATATTTCTCCTGTCACATTATTTTGCCATTAAAGATCGCTGATGTAAACACAATATAGACCTGATCAGGTCTTTAAAACAATCTGTCGGTTATAGCGACCCATTTTCCCCCAGCACCGCAAAGCACGACAGGGCAGATGTTCAGAATAGCACATGAGCAACAAGCTAGCGTCAAAGCTCAAGCGATCTCCTCCCTCCAGCATTTTTACAGAATACAGAAGACAGGTAACAAGCCTGGCGACGGATGACGGGAATAAGGTGAGACGTAAAATTTTGGACGGGATGGTCCAAGAAATACAGGATGACCTGGAACGGAGCAGAGTCTCCAAACGCACTTAATCATGTGTTTAGTCATGTGCTGCAAAAGAGCTCAGCTGAATGAAAACAACCACACGAACCTGGCCATCTGGTTGCAATTTAACTTTCCGCTGACCATAAACTCTTTTATTGATCTGTAATATAATTAAAATTTATGGAATGCTTGCAATGTAGGCAGTCTTGATCTGCAATGTCAGATCCCAGCCTGATCTGAGAGTCACGATGGTTAAAGTTCCACACACAAGGTGTGTTATTAAAATATGCGATAGCATCTGATATTTTTAAGTTTCCACCAAGTAGGTCCCAGTCAAATCAGCAAAACCTGATGTTGTCAAGCCTAGTTTATGTGTCGTGCACGGGGACTTTGTCACTTATGTGCCACATATTTTCCGTGAGGAAGTCCACGAGTCATCTTACTCCGACCAAACTTGTCAAAACAAAATCACAATGCCAGTCATGAACTGCGTAAATCTATTATCGACTGCAAGCCCATTCATTGCTACAGAACATTTCTGTCAGTAATATTTACACCAGGAAACTGCGATGACTCGTCACACTGCTTTTCGGAAATGTTGTCTGGTGAAATGCTGCATTTGAATTCTAGAACTGCTTGATGAGTGAGTTCGACATGGGTAAATTTATAAACAGACTTTGTCTCAGGTAGCAGGAAATAAACCATCTAGCACAACCTAAGACAACACTGTCCCTGCCATTTATCGTCATTACAGAAATCACGAAAATACTCAATAATCTGATACCAACACATACAGGAAACACATCTAAACTAAAACACAATTAAGTACATGATCTGTAAATGCAAAAGAGGCTGCAATCTTTAGAAATAATACTTCAAGAATGAATCTATAAATATGACCAACAAGAGGCAAATTTTGTCCTTACTGCCTTCCTTTTTACCTGATTTATTGTTGTTATTTAAAGATTTATTTTTTGGGGGGGGGGACTCATATAATGCATTCAGACATATGCATGGTGGTGCAGCAACCAAGGCCTAAAGTGTAAATAGAAGATAGTTCACTTTATTAAAAAAATTGGCCTATAAGGAAGAGAGGTCAGACCTGTTCTTGTGCTTTTGCACAGAATTCTGAGAAACACACTATAGAGTAGCTGCACTCATTGTTACTCATACTGGGCTGTAAATACTATATCCTATTCATGTTAGAAACTATTATAACTTTATTAGTGCCGCATAACAATAAAGCTTCAAGGCCGAGCTCCAGCTTTTTTTATAACCCAACCTGTTCTTCTCAGAAGTTTTAGTGTCCTTATTTCCTGATTAGTGTTCAGAAATCTATGTCGCAAAGACACGACAGAAACATATTTATATATAAAGCAAAATAAAACACCAAAAACGTTCCTGTTGAGCACCTTGCCGGCTGAGTTCACATCTGGGCCTGTAGCCAATGAAGATATCGGAAAGAGGTCGATATTAAACTTTGGCCATCAGATGGGTATGCAAATCTGAGGACACCACCAATCTGTAAAAGCATTTCCGATTGTGCTTTTATCAGTGGTAAGTGATTCTTCACTTTACCAAATATATCTTGGCCCTTCTTCATCAGGAAAGACATTACATAAATATATTACTCATTGCAGTATTTCTAGAGGCTGATAAAATCCCAGTAGTTCTGGCTATAATCCCATTATAAGATACAGTAACAAAGCGCATTTATCTAGAGAATGCTATATAAAAAGGTATATATACAAAAAACAGGCTTAGATGAAAATGATTATTTATTTAATGATTGAGATGTTATCTTGCATTTGATAAAATGCCAGCTGTCTTTATATTCCAAATTCAGACTTTTGCTTTTCTTACTAAACCTGTCTTTCAAGCTGAAAAGTCTAGCGCCGTCGCTAGTAATGTTCATATGGCAAACAGCTGCTGGGAAAAGGGGTCGCTGTCCCTTTAATAAATTATGAATACATTATTATTATTATGCACTACATTTTGTGTTAATATAAGACCCTGAAAAGCAAACATAGAATCCAGCAAAGTATCCTACTGATTCACATTTTTAAACTCAGCTACACCTCATTTAAGAACCTTGTGTGCTATCGGTATTATAAACAGAGACCTTTTTCACAGCACATATTGCAGTAAGTGACATATTCAGCTGAAGCACACATGAACACTTGGGGGAAACCATTTTGCAGCCTCAGAGGAATAATACAACAATGGTGACAATGATACAATGACAATTGCTGACGCAATTTGCCATCCTGATACTAATCTCTATTTACATATTGACATACAAAATCACACAGGTTGCACACTGCTGCACAGTATTGAGAGCCCCAGAATCGGGCCCAAATATGCATTTTTTTTAGTCATTTAAACAAAAGAATAAATATCGATAAAAATGACTAATTAAGTTTCCGCTTTGCTGCCTTATTCTGCTGCCATATGAGCAAATGTCTTTAAACATTTGACATTTGGAATTAATTTTCCTCACTTCTAAATTTAAATAACTCAAAAAACACATCTTTAAATAATATGAATTTTTCTCTGCCATAGAAACCTGTATCATCTTAAAGATATTAATCTTTTGATATCACGTAATTAGATGTGGCAAGATTTTTTTATAGATATATTTCATTATTGTTTTTAAATGCTTAGGTATTATCTATAAATCATTCTGAATTAATTGAAGTTATATACATTTTTCAATGGTTTTTAGACTCTTTAATTTTATTTTTCGTTTCACTCAGTATGATTTTCATATGCTGATTCTTTTAAGTGACACAAACAGTTTTCAATCGATTTCGTTAGAAAGTAGTTGGTATAAAAGCACACAATGGCATTTTCTGACTGGCAGATGCAACTGGAAAACTTTCACCCCTATAAATTCTCTATAGCTCATTGCGTGTCAGTTAAGTTACAGTATTTTTTTAAAGATGTATTTGGGGAGTGACTTGAGTGCTGGGAGATTTTTGTACCTGTGATGGAGTGTGAGCGGATGTTGGAGGGGTTTGAGCTGGTGCACCTGGACTTGGAACAGGAGCAACTCCGAACACTGGCGTTTCCCTGTTCTGTAGACCGACATCCAATATGGATTCATAGATATTATCAGCTTCCAGTGGTTGCTTGGGATGAAGAGAGGAGGGCTCTTTCAGGTCCTCCGGCGCACTGGGCGTTCTCACCGATTCATGCACCTCTGGGGTGACCTTGATACTCTTAATGACGACCGGCTCTACTGGCTTTGCCTTTGTCTGTCTTTTTAATGGATCTGCCGGACGGAAGCTTGGCTCACGAGGTAAAAGGGAAAAAGGTGGCGAATCTTCAGTGGGAAGCTGGCAGTCAAAAACACTAGGAGTCTGTATCTTCTGGGAAGTGTTTTTACCGGAGGCTGATTTTGTCGCGTGTTCCTGAGAGTGTTGGGCAAGAAAGGAATCCGGAAGGCCACCCCGTCGGAATTCTTGGTTGTGCATGTCCAGGGGGATGCCAAAGGTGGACATCCGGTTCTCCGTCTTCTTGGACTGGGCCGGTGACTGCAGCCTGATGGCCACCTCAAGGTGTTTTTCTTCTGGTGAATCTGTGGCCCTTTTCTCGCCCCTGTTTTGGGTCGGCTCGGGGTTCATAGACTCTATGAAGTCCAGCGGAGACGGTAGATGTGACGGCAGCTCCTTGACGTACTTGGCAGGGATGTAGAAGGGCTTGGCGTGTTCGTCTTTGCGGACGTGCCACCAGTGGTCATTGGTCTTGGCTAGGAGGACGTAGCGCTCATTGGGTTTGATGGACACCAGGTCGCCGTCACGGCCCAAGTACTCATACTTATACTCGACCAGCACCAGGCCTTTGTTGGTCATGGTTGTCGTGGCGACCTGCCAAGCCAAAGACCCTCAAACGAAGCCAGTTATGGCTGAGGGGGTGGAGCTGGAAAAAAATGTGAAGGGGAAAAACAGAAAATGCGGTCAATGTTCAATGCAAAACAGGTGAGCTCTGTACCTTGAACATTCCTCTCTTTACACAGTGCAGCCCTGACAGGTGTCTCAGCCCACACCCACGGCCTGGAGGCAAACGTGAAAACAGGAACAACAGGAATGTTTCATGCTGTCTCTCACCAATACATCCCAGCCTGTACGTGTAAGCTTTTCTTCTCTTGTAGCAGTGGGCACGTTCAGGTAAACAGGTAAACATTACTTGCCTATGAACATCTCAAAAGGTCATTTTCACACCATGTAAGTCAATAGCATTTTAAAGTCTGAATTGTGTGCTTCTCCATAGTCTACACACCCTGCCAGCTGTCCCAGAGCTCTTGACATTTGAGAAGTGGACACTGTATGTCAGCCCTGCCCCTAACCTTGACTTAATCCATTCCCCCACCCCTCCGTTTCATGCGGTCTCATAATCCCTCATAACATCCTCTCCTGTAAACAATCCCATAATCTGACAAATAAGCAGGATTAAATGTGCTGAAGTGTGCATCTTGTATGCTCATTTGCATGCTAACAGACATCGTAATCCTATGAGTCTTCCATCTGGGACACCAACCATGCCGCCTAGGGAGAATCCCTGATAAAACACAGCCCAAAGCAAAATTACCAGGAAAGAACTTAAACTCAGAATACGACTAAACTCACAACAATTACGAAGCATGTATTGGTTAGACAATGGAGAACTGAGTCATTTTCAGATGCTTTGAAAAAGCAATGCATATTAAGCTAAAAAGTGGCGTTTTTGGATATTGTTATTTTACTAACGTGACTTTGTAACGTAGCATTAATGTAACGTGGCGTTGTTGCGTTGTGTGCGGAATCCTGAGATATTACTTGAAAGACTGGAGGGAAATTACATATGGAGATTTTTACTATATGACCAAATAACAATATTCAGAAAATTCACATACACTGCAGCCTTGGTCGTACCAGATTTATTTCAAGCACAGGCTGGTCACATGTAGCCTAAATATGCAAACTCTGCTTTCTCTGTTTCAGCCTCAGTCATCTTATGGGCCTTAACCTTGACCAGAAGTCAATTCAACAAATGTGCTGTTTTCGGGAAACACCACAAGAATGTAATGTAACATGTAACTGACATTAGTTATAAATTATTCCTTGCTTTTCTTGGGGATATTTCGGTGTATTTAACTGCAAGCGAAACTATAAAAGTAATGTGATTTAAAAAAAAAAAAACACAATATAGAGTTTATAAAAACAAAGACTTTACATCCTTTTCCGATTCTGCATCCGTTGGTAGAGGAGCCCCCCCCCCTCGGGGAACGGACATGACAGCCCAATATTTCTACACAAAACAGTGGCATGTTGTGTGTCAATTTACCTAGTATGTGTTTAATTTCAGAATCTTACCACATATATGTATATATGTAAATACACACAGATACAGAAGCATTAATTCAGGAAATGCACTTAAGATTTAATTTTCATTTTCTTCATTTAATAATACAAAAAAAATCTCTTTACAAAAAAGTCCAAGGTTGTCACCTCGATGCCAAACAGAATTAATTCCTTATTAGTGTGATGAGAGATATTTTCAGCAGTTCTATGTATAACTTTTGCCCAGACTGGAATGTCGACCGTGTCGCAAACAGTCCTCCCTCTGGCCCCACCTCCCGAGGGCAATTTCAGGAATTTTTGATCTTTTAACTATTCCCCACTTTATCCAAAACATGTACTGTCTGGTTTAGAACAGATTGCAGATCGGCAATGTAAATATAGCTGGTGTGTATAAAAGGCTCAGACAAGACGGTGCCGACAGGAATGAGCACTCGACCACTTCCGGACTATGCGAGGGCACCGTTTGACTAAGAACAAATTAGCTTTGCCTCTCACCCCGAACTGACTCTCCATTTAACAGGTACAAACTATCTCAACCTGCAACATACATAGAGAGGGAAGGACAACTTTCCCGCCAAAGAACATTGCCCAGATAAACGATTCAAATCAAACTCAGGGAAAATAGTCCGATAATATATAGAGAACATGAAGTACAGAGTCCAGAGTATCTAGCACAGTAAATTGTTCCTTGGCTTTTGTCATGCAACAGTTTAAAAAAACGGGAATCATGTTTACCTGGACAGAAACGGTGTGATCACCCTACATCCCATTCCTTCCACCGTCACAATAAGAATCCCATAATGTAGTAGCTGGTCATTCTATTTCCTTTTCGTTCCTTTTATTTAAGGCCCCACTGTCCCTCTCCTGCTTCCTTTGGTGCTTGTTTCCTCTGCAGGATTCCTGCCCCGCTCTGAGAAGCCTGAAGCTGCTGGGTGTGACTGTGTACGCGTGAATTGTGTGTTCACCAGTTTCAACACGCCTGCCTCTATCTGCACGCATTTCCTGTTCCACCAGACACAGAACAACGAACAGAGGGACTGGAAGGATCAGCAAAGGGGAGAAACCAAAGGTGAGAGGAGATAATTTCGCTCTGAGGCCAGATACTGGTGCAATACTGACTTCCGACAAGATTTCCATCTATTATTATTATTATTATCATTGGAATCAATCATTATCATTACGCTTAAACTGTCACTTGCTATGGATTAGGGAAGATTGCATGATTCCGATTCTATGGGAATAAATTAATCTTTTGAGTTCTAGCATGTTTCCTGGCTTATGTGCGTAGTGAAAATACTGGAAGGCTACATACCGTACAAGCTCAACAGGCACACTTACAGAGATTGTGTAGTATATCCAAATGACACAAAGTAACAGGCACACTTACAGAGATTGTGTAGTATATCCAAATGACACAAAGTAACAGGCACACTTACAGAGATTGTGTAATATATCCAAATGACACAAAGTAAACATTACCCAAAGCACGTTAGCAAGCTTTCCACTTCCTTTTGGCCAATTATCATTTTCACCACGCCACAAAACACAAATGCACAGCTGATAAACAGATTCAAAGGACATTCCAAATTTCTTTGACCATACGTGCATATTATCAAATTTAGCCTGCCGAAAAATTCTCCAATGGCTTAGTGAAGGAGCATTTACTGTTAGCATTTACTGTAATGCCTATGATAAGTACCATATGCAGATAGGTCAGCTGGTGTCCCACATGTGGACCAAAACTGAGTGTGTGACCTGCCATGTACTGGCATTCGGGGTGAATCTCAATACCAAGAACCCAAAGACCGCGCTTGTGGTCTTGGCAAGACAGGTCTTGCTAACCCGCCTTCCAAGACAGAACTTGGGACTCAATGAATCATTGGATGCAACCAATGTATTCATCCCTGGTGTCCTCCTTTTTGAGTCCTGTGCCTCCGGGAATAGTGACTCATCAGACTCATTCACAACTCTGGACTGAAAAAGTAGTATCTGTACTTCCCAGTATCACTCACTAGCTCCATCCATTTTCTGTGGAGTCTAGGATGGGGCACCAACCCATCATAGGGCATCATGCACCATTCAGCCATGCAAGCAAGTACATCTATGGGGGGGGGGAACCCCATGATGACATGGAGAGGACACCCATGGAGTCATGGCAGAGACTCGAACCCTGGTCCCAGAGGTGTGAGGCAACAGCACTAATCACTGCACCACCCTGCCGCCCCATTTATCACTTATCCAGCTTATCACTGTCTGAACTTCTGCAGATTGGGAAAATCATCTCACAACTCCTCAAAATGATTAGGCGACCCATAACCCCTAACCCTAACCTGCCCACCCCCCCCCCCCCCCCCCCCCCCCCCCCATCCCCGTGGTTCCATGCTTTGCGAACCACTGCCTTAGCGAATGGAGGCTCACGCGAGAGACAAAAGAAGAACAGCTGCAGTGAAACAGTAAACATGTAAAGACACTGTAAGTCATCACAGATGCTTACAAACTAGATAAGAGCACTCTGTCACCAGCTTTCTCAGGTCTTAAAACAAGTCGCAGTCTGCATGGACTCTGACCTCTGCTGATCACTTCAAAGCAGAATGAAGAGAATGTTGTATAGAAATATCCACAAATATTTCTTTGTATATGATTTCTTATGCATTAGCAAAACATTTTAGGTACTGCTATCTCTGTTTTTAAGAAAACGTCTTAATGTTCATCAAATTGGACAAGAACTGTACCTTCATTGATTAGGTTCTTTCTTAATTTGGGCACACCCATTGTTGCAGAACTGCCCACTCAGCCTCTCTCTCTCACACAGAAAAAAGGACACAGAAGTTGCGTGGATCTACCTTATTTCCTGCCTGGGAAGGAACTCGAAATCTGTGCCAAAATTAGGTTCCGCAGAGTAAGCGTGGAGGATGCAATGCACATATTTCAGGCCGACAGACTAGCCGTGCTAGTTTGCTGCTGTAAGTAATCTATTGCCTTGACTGCAGAAAAATCCATTGTTCATTGTAGTATGGTTGTGTACGTACATGATATTAGGTAAGTAAATAAGTCAGTAAAATTTATTTATAAAGCACTTTTCATAGACACAAGTCACAAAGTGCTGTACATAACATTTAACATTAAAATGAGCATATTAAGGGGAATATAAGAAAACATGAGTAAGAAAAAACAGTTGTAAAATATATTAGAAAACAAAGCCCATGCAGCGTTAACTCAGCTCTATTCAAAGACCTTCTTAAAGTCTTAAGATGCATTTTAAAAGAGTCAACGGACTCAGCACAGAGCAAAGCCAGAGCAAGAGCGTTCCAGAGTCTAGGTGCAGCTGACTGAAAAGCACGATCCCCACGTGTCTTAAGTCGTTTGCGGGGGACGACTAGAAGGTCTTGTTGACTGGACCCGAGAACCCAACTGGCTGTGTGGAGATGGAGAAGACTAGCGATATACTTAGGAGCTTGACCATGCAGCGCTCTATGGTCAGAAGACCATGAATGAGAACAGAAAATGAGATTAGGAAGACAGTGGTGAACTGGAGTACAAGTGCTGTGACATTGGATTATATAAAGATTGATTTGTAAATGGACTCGGATATGTCTTTAACCCACAGCACAGCACCCCGTTAATCCTAACCTAACCTAAACTAAACGCCACAAGTGAAAAAATAACAGCTCAGTACAACAATGGTGTACAGAAACACAAATGCGCAACCCTTAAAGTGATTCTAGAGATGAGCAGGGCCCACTATCTGGCAGGGCGTTACTTAGCTTTCATTTCCAGAAAAATGTCATGAGATTTTGGGGATTGCTTTCATAAAATGTGTATTATGCTCGCTATTACATGAAGTGTGTGTATTACATGAAGTGTGTGCAAGAGCTAATTTTAAGGTAGTAAAGATAAAGTACTCATGGGTGGGTTATCTTTTATTAAAAGATCAGTTATTGTATTATAAAATCACCATTCTTCTGGAATCACACTGCAGTGCATCATAGCCTACTACTCAGAAACTGAAATAAATTTGTGTATCAACCGTTCATTGCTAGCAGCTAGTAATCTGTCTGAATAGACACATTCGTCTAATGGATCAGTAATCTATAGATAAAAACCTAAAAAATGCTTTGGATGAACAATACGAAGGATTTGAAAAAGAGGGAAAGTAGAGTTCATTCCCTGATTTTGTTTGACCGTGCACTTTCAGATGAATCTTAAAATACTGCTTGAAGTTCCTCTTCTTTGCAATTCAATGCTTTACTCCCACCTACTGGATACAAATGTACTGAAGTTTTCATTACACGCAACAATCCAGTAACTGATTAATCCTATTTAATCATATTTTCCCATACGTCACTGTCTAATAAGCATCGTGTTACACTCAAAACATTCTGATTCTTGACAGTTGACTTACTATTCTACAGTCTGAATCAGCAATATTTGCTCAAATTTTAACTGAGAAATGAGCGCAAAAGTCACGAAAATTTGACGGTTTTTAACATGTTTCCAGTCAGCGGAATTTATGAGAAACGTTTTTATTTCGTTATATTAAAAAACTATTTTAAAATATACTTAAAAGTGTTTTTTGTATTATAATATTGCCTTGTATAAACTAGCTTGATCTTCTGGACGGTGAAGGTGAGCCGCAGGTACGTGAGTTACGTAATACAGGGAACGAGCAAACTGGGAAGGACGCAATTTAACGGCATGCTCTTCATATATGCACTATATACAATACCAATTACACCAGAAGGCTCAGTTCACAATGTAGTAAATGAAATGAAAATGTAGATCTTATACGGACCAGTAGCAAGGTTTGCGGTGGATGATGGGACAGGCGAGGTAGGAAACCAGGAATTAGGATTACAGACCGGATCACCTGAAAACCGAACACTAAAAGCACAAATTTAGGCGCATATTAATCATTCCACGCAAGACGTGAGCGGCGGAAGCAGCGACTCAAAGACCCTTAACGCCAGGACAGACGGTGTTTTTTATTTTTAATATTTTTGTATTGTCGGAAGTGTGTTATAGCGTCGTTTTAAAAACATTTCAAACATTTTTTAAACATTTCACATATTTTGAATGTGGAAAACGGTCGACATTTTTTATCAGGTTGATCTGCTATCCCTTAAGGCCTACTTCTGGAATTTCCCTTAATCTTCCTCCATACCCGCGTGCCCAATACAACCTTCTTAATAAAATATGTTTATTTTAAGTTTTATGTTAACATAATTTAGCAACTGTAATTAGGGTCGATCTTAGTATGGCAAAGCCAGCAGCGGGTTTGTCAAGCGCCGTCTAAAATGACTCTCCCGTGATTCCATCCTAAATTTAGTTAGTAAAAATGTCCCCTTATATAGTTTCTCAGTATTTTAAAGAAGATCCATATATAACGTTATGATATTATCATGTCAGAGTGTTTCTACTCGTTTGTACTTTGAGTGTTTTTCTGTTTTATACATGGCACATTTATGATATGACGGTATATGTTCCTAATATTTCATTTTATACTATATGGTGGTTTGTTCTGAAACCACAGTATCATCTTGTCCCATGGTATTTATTCACAACCACTATTGGTACTATTTGGTATTTACTATTCACAGTATTACCTACCAAGAAGCACATATAATATATATATAGTTCGCATACAAAAATGCAAATGTATTTTAAACATTGGACTGCGATCGTTACACTTGTACTGGCAGGGGCGCTGCTAGAGATTTTGGGCCCCATGAAAGCATATCATATTAGGCCCCCCAGTCTAAACCAATCCAGTTATTTTCCTAATTTTTTAGGGCCCCTGTTGCTCAGGGGCCCTTGGAATCGTCCTAGCTTTCCTCCCCCTTACGGCGCCCCTGTGTACTGGATCTGGTAATGGGATCTGAGAATTCCACCTAAGCGACTCGCATAAATCAGTAATTATGAGGTTGCATTTCTTAGCCATTTCAAATAAAGACACAACTTAATATGAAGTTTTATTTCTGGTGAACATGTGTTTTGATAAAAACGTTTCCTTCAGTTTTTGCCATTGAAACACTTATATTGGTAAATGGTCAACTGGTTTGATGCATGTGGCTGCTAAAATGTTTTCTTCACTAAGCCAAAACAGACATTTCAGGTATGGTACACTGAATGTAACTATGATGTAATTATGACATAAAAACGCAAAGTGGCAGTTTTTCGGCTTGTGTATAGATTTGGACTTGATCTTAATGATTATGTAATAAATATTGCTGCATAAATGCAATAGCTAGATAAGACTACAGTGTTTTCCAGCTGGGAAAAAACGCACATTGCATCACCTACGACACCGGAAGTTGTAATTCGAAAATGAAAAAGAAATCGAAAAGAAAATTGTAGAAAAAAATGTCTCGTAGTAATTCGTGCTCTCGAGTTAATAATTCGTAGCCATTCTCCATAATGAATCTTTTATGTAACTGAAACCGCAAAAAAAAACAGACGATGCCCACTGTCACTGTTATAATTGTTGGATTGTGAAAACTGGCCAATGTTGTCGGTCACGTGACGTTGCATTAACGAAGCATGTTCCGCCTCCCAGTTTCGAGTCCCGGGTGTTCGGCGAGCTCCGAAATCTTGATATTATATCTCATCACTACTTAAATGTGTTTTTTCCGTAAATTTCGCTATATTCCATATAACATACAGGTAAGCAACAATATATTAAATATAGCAATACACATCTTACCTTTTGTATTTAGTTTGTCGCACACTCGCACTTGTTGGCCGCGTCACTTGATCCGGTGTATGGGAA